ATGCAGGGAGCCTGACATGGAACTCAATCCCCTGGGCTGAAGGCGGCGCTAAATCACTGAGCCACCCGGGCTGCCCATGTTTTTGTATTCTTTAGGTAGATACCCAGTTGTGGGATTGCTGGGTTGTAGAGTAGCTCCTTTATAAACTTTTTGAGGAACTTCCGTACTATTTTCCAGAGTGGCTGCACCAGTTTGCATTAACACCAACAGTGCAGAAGGGTTCCTTCTCCACATCCTTTGCCAACACCTGTTGTTTCTTGTGTTGATTTTAGCCATTCTGACAGATGTGGCTAGTTTCATTATTAGTGTATAATGCTGCTGCTTCATTATATTCTGTACATCAGTTCTGATGCCAGCGAGTAAAACCACTGTTTTCTCCTTTCAGTTTCACTTGTCAGTAGCCCAGCTCTGTTCTTAAAATTTGCATTATAACCCTTTTTTTCTTAAGATTTTATTTATTTGAGGGACACCTGGGTGGCTCAGCGGTTGAGCGTCTGCCTTTGGCTCAGGGTGTGATCCTGAAGTTCCGGGATCGAGTCTCACATCGGGCTCCCTGCATGGAGCCTGTTTCTCCCTCTGCCTGTGTCTCTGTCTCTCTGTCTCATGAATAAATAAAATCTTTAAAAATCTATTTTATTTATTTGAGAGGGAGAGCAAGAGCACAAAACAGGGGAAGGGGCAGAGGGAAAGGGACAGATTCCCCACTGAGCAGGGAGCCCAGCATAGAGCTCCATCCCAGGATCCTGGGATCATGACCTGAGCTGAAGCAGACACTTAGCTGAGCCATCCAGGTGCCCCGGATTATCACTTTTCTAGTCTCACTGTTCTACCTGAGTTCATGGCTTTTAGAAGACACTGGAAACTCCTTTTGTCTCAGGAAATGTGTAGAACATGCTTCGAGTGACCTTTAAAATATATTTTTTCCCTTAAAATTTTTTTATTTTTTAAATGTGTTTTTTAAAAAAATATTTATTTTTAGAGAAGGGGAGGGGCGGAGAGAGAATCTTAAGTAGATTCCCTGCTGATCTCATGACCCTGAGACCACGACTTGAGCCAAAACCAAGAGTCATTGCTTAGCTGACTGCATCCCTCACTTAAAAATGTTTCATTACAAAAGTAATATGAGGTTATTTTAACCAGAGGAATCAAAGATAAATAGATGGATAGATACAACTAATCTATCTTTACAAAATCTGCTTTACTATATACATTCTTACTTTTCCCTTTTAACAGTGCATCCTATTCATCTCTAGTCCAATTCCTGATGAACAGGGAGCCCCATGCCGAGCTCGATCCCAGGAACCTGAGATCATGACCTGAGCTAGAGACAGATGCTTAACCGACTGAGCCACCCAGGTGCCCCTACATAATGGGTTTTTAATATTCAAAGTGGGGTTTCTGGGTCCAGCTTTTCATAGATACTGCCATATTGCTTTCCAAAAGCATTATAACACTTCACAGTCCTAACTGCATTTAGGAAAGTGTCTGTTTTTCCACCTCTTCTCCAGCTGAGTGTTTTCTCATTTTTTATTGTTTTTCAAGCTTCAAAGCAAGTTTATGTTTTTTCACAATTTCAACTTAGGCACTATTTTATGTTGGTTTATTGAATATTGCAGAGTAGGGTGAAATACCCATCCTTCCTAAACACACATTATTTGTTTTACCCTCTCATTCCCTTTACATCCCATCATTCCACTTCCACAGCTATCTAGGTTTCCTGCTCTCAGAAATTAATACTTTATCTCCCCTTTGTGTTTAATGCTGTGGACAGCATTATTTAATTACTAAAGCCTTCTGCAATTAGTGAGCAGCAAGACTGAGGATTTAGTATTAGAGGGAGACAGTGACAGTGTGTGGTAGTGCAGGGACTCTGGAGCCAGATTGTTGGGTGATCTCTGGCAAATTGCTTATCCTCTCTACACCTTGGTTTTTCTATCCATAAAACAGTGATAATAGTATCTTCCTCCTATTGTACTATACTGTTGTGAAGATTAAGTTAGAACAGTGCCTGGCACACGTCATTATTGATATCAGGTCTTGCTTCCTAGGAGACCTAGAGATTAGGTGATTGACTCATCTGGAGGCTCCAGGCTATAAAGGGTTATTATTAGGACTTCCACACTTGAACCCTGATCTCTTTACTTTTTTTTTTTTTTAAGATTTTATTTATTCATGAGAGACAGAGAGGCAGAGACACAGGCAGAGGGAGAAGCAGGCTCCATGCAGGGAGCCCGATGTGAGACTCAATCCTGGGATTCCAGGACCACGCTCTACGTCAAAGTCAGGTGCTAAACTGCTGAGCCACCCAGGGATCCCCTCTTTATGTTTAAGTCAGTTTTTGTACTATGTCAAAGCTGCCTTTAGTCACTTCTTGGGGGACTTATATTGATAACCTTTATATCAGTCACAACATGATTACCATGGGCTGCCCTGAAATAAGTATTTTTTGAATGACTAAATTAATGAATAAATGTTTTCTACTAGGAAATCACCAAAAGGCTGTTATGTAAATTGTGGGAACAGGGTTTCTCAACCAATTTCTCTCTGCAGCCATCTGTATCTTCTAAATTATTGCTTATTGCCCCCCTAAGTGTTTCCTTAAGCCTTGGGAGGTCCTGGTTGACTTAATTTTTTACTTTGTGAGCCCCAGGGATTAACCAGTCAACTTCCCTAAATGGTGTTCATGTCAAGAATTAATAATCTGCGACTTTACAAATTAGCTTGCTTCAGGTGTATGGAGGCAGGCAGAAGACAGGAGATTCCTGGGTGATAGTTTATTACTCAAAGCAACAGCAGTAGCCAGACTTTTAGCTTTTTGGGTGATGGTTCTTTAAGCCCGAATTCCCACAGAGCCATGCAGAAGGCTATATAACATCGTGGGTTGCTTTACAGAAGCACCCTGAGCTTGGGGAGCCCAAATCTTCTATAACGGACAGTTATGTCCTTTGCTCCAGAAGAAGCGATTATCTTTATTATACTGGGCTTATTAAGTCAGCATTCCTGCACTTTGCTCTAAAGGAAGATACTCTGTCTTCCAAAGTTTGGTATATAAACATCTTCAAAAAGATAGTCTAGAACACAGAGTAGTTAGTGCCTCACTTTCCTGACATGTAGACACAGCCAACAATGGAGAATTGTCTTCCCACATTGTTCTTTGCTGCTATTCTCTGCTCTTAGGCTTGCTTGTGTTGGTCAAGTAAGTTTACCTGGCACTGAAGAGAGATAAATTTGGCAATTTCTGCCCTGAAGGTTAGGGGAGACAGTGTGGTAGGGAAGAAGACATGCCACAAATATTTGTAACACAGACCTGAGCTGTAAGAAATGTGAACCCCACTAGATGCATTGCTTTCATCAAGAACACTGATCCTAACTAGATTTCTCCAATCTGACGCTGTTGATTCATCTTCCTTTTTGAATTCTTACCTCCCTTGTCACCGTGACCCATTTGTTCCAGGTTTTTCTCTTTCCTCTTTTGGTTCTTTCTCTCCCTACATTTTGGATTTGTCCTTTCAGCTTGCCCTTTAAGATGTTAGTGGGCCTCAGGGCTCCATCCTCAGCTGTCTCTTTAGGTAGGATGTTTTGTGACTCATTTCTCCCAGTGGCTTTACAATGGTGGATTACAATGTTAATGACCCCTATCTTGCCCAGTTGTCTGCACTGGACACCTTTGCTTGGATTCATTCATTTAGTACCAGGTGTTTGGGATATTGTGGGTATACAAGGTCATTTCATAGTCTCTGCCCTTCCGAGATTTAGTCTCATGCAAAGAGCAGGCATTAATCAAATAATCACAGAGAAGAGTATCTGGTTAAGGTCAGAGAAGGGTTCTCTGAGAGACAATGACACTTCAACAAATGTCAAAATGATGAAGTGTAAGTTAAGTTGGATAAGGGATTGGGAGAGAATTCCTGGCCAAGGGAACAGCTTGTGCAAAGGCTCTGAGACAGAAGGGAATGTGGTGAGTAAAAGGGCTGGAAGTTCAGTATGGCTGAAGTGAGAGAGAATTTGGTGCAAAAGAAGGCTGGAGAGCTATCAGGTGTGTGGGTCACATCATGGACGTACCGGTAAGCTATGGGGAGTGTTAAGTTTTTTTTCCCAAATGAACGGTGGAGAGATGATAAAAACGGCAGAGCCAGGCAGTAGGCCCGAGAGTGCTTTAATGGGGAGCGCTCCCGGGACCAGGTTACGTGACACGGAGAGGTGGCCAAGACGATGGGGGTAGTTCCCGGCTGGAAAGTCCCAGATGGAAAGTTTCGGTTTCCCATCTAGGCTTCGATTTACTGGAGATGACGTGCTGGTCATGGCTGCTTTGGCGGGAAGATCTGCCATCTTGACCCAATTTGAGACGTCCGCCATTTTGGGTGCCCCTGTCTCTCAGCCAGCCCAACAGGGAGTTTTGTCTTTATCCCAAGAGCTGAGGGCTCCTGAAGCTTCAAGCAGAATTGTGTATTCTGCTTATTTAAACATACTTATTAAATCATTCTGATTTGTTAAAAAAAAATCCGAAAGAACATTTATGTGTCTGGTATTTAGATGACGGGATTAAGTTTAAAAACCAGGAGTGCTTTGTGAATCTAAGTCTTTGGCTTTGGGTCATCGGTTTCATCATCCACTTACGTTTCTTCCGCGAAAGGATTCCTCACTTTCACCGTCGGTCTAAACTGAGGCTTGTGCTGAAGTTCCGGCGCGCTGTGTAGTCGTCAGGGTCTACGTAAACCTGAGGAGGCGGAACTGCCCGGCAACAGGGTGGGAGGGGTGAGTGGGAAAATGCCCTGCGATTGGCGGCTTATCAGGTGTATGTTAATTAAAGTGATAACTTGAAATGTCTTTTGAAACGCAGCATATTAAAAAACGCTTTGTCTAACTTTGGTAACGGAACAATTTTTTTGGAAAACACTTGCTAATTTACATTTAGGGAAGTTAGTGATGTTAGGAAAAGTCACCATTAGTATAATGTGTGTGAGTTTCCTCCACTTCGGAAAGTTGGGGAGCGTGTGGTTAAGACTATACTTTCAGGGATCATTTCTATAGTTTGTTACTAGAGAAGTTTCTCTGAACGTGTAGGGTACCCGAAACCACGAGGAGGAGTCGCAGTGTTCTCTCCTGAGCGTGAAGCCTGCTTTTGGTGTTGCTTATGCAACTGCTGATTGCAATTGATGATCGTTCTTCTCTTCCGTTGGAGGAGTAAGAGGGAGAGAACGCAGTCTGAGTGGTTTCTTCTTTTTTTCGTTTCCAAGAACAGTTTTAAGGAGCTTAGAATTTCTGGTTATCCAAGACGTTGAGGTTGTGGGCGGGATAACGTACTAGTGTTTTAATATATTAAGGTTGGTTGTTGTCTCACTTTTCTGCCAGCTTTTTTGTGCTTTTGGGGTTAATAAAGGCCTTTTTTGGTCTTTAGGAGAAGCTTGTGGTACTAGCCACGTAGGAATTTTAGTTCGTGTTCTGATATGAACTTCTCTAGTTTTATTTCAGTAAGTCTTTTGATATTCGTGGTGATTTTTGCATTTGTTTTGCAGGAATTTATGTTGATGCGGTTAATTCCCTGGGCCAGACTGCACTTTTTGTTGCAGCATTATTAGGCCTTACGAAATTAGTTGATGTTCTGGTGGATTATGGATCAGATCCAAATCAGTAAGTATAATATCGGTATCTAGAAAACTATGCTTTTAAAATGAGTTGGGTCATTTGGAAAATAATTTGAGAAGATATTAAAAGAGCCTTTATTAACTTATTTTAATGAAATACTAGTTGCATAGCTATGTTGAAACGTACTTTTAACTGCTAATAAAAGTTTTCTGAGGAGTCTTACTAGGCCCAGTGGTAATAAGTGGAGCTTAATTAATTGGTTACTTTTTAAATAGTACAGTTTGCATATTTCCACGCCAAGTTATGATTTGCATGTTCACTTAAGCAGTTTAACATACCTACCAACCAAGTTCATTAATATACTGGGCATCACTTTTTCAGGATGACTTTCTTTGGGGTCTGTGTGTGGCTCAGTCCGTTAAATTAAGCCTTTGGCTCAGATCATAATCCTGAGATTGGGGGGACGGCTCCCTCCTCAGTAGGGAGCTTGCTTCTCCCCTCCCCCTGCCACTCCCCCTGATTGTGCCCTCTCATTCTCTGTCTCACTCTCAAATAAATAAATAAAATCTTTAAAAAAAAGAAAAAAAAAGGATGACTTGGCCTTGCTCTTGTAATTGTGGTCCAAAATCTGTTTAACAGTTGGCCCAACTTTTAGTATGGAACACTGTAACACTTTTGCTTTTCCTAGGGCTTTTCCAGGCACCAGCTCACTTGATCCTCAAAAGCACCTCCTGGAGAAGGAGGGGAGAGCAGATATTTTTACAGTTCCTATTGGACAGAGCCAGAAATAGGTTTTGAACATTTACATGATTCTAGCTGATTTTCACAGGAATTCCAGAATACAATCATAAAAGTCATAAAATAGTATTCTCATCTTACATGAGGAGGCCCTGTTAATGTACTTTAAACAGAAAAGGTATTGGGGTGCCTGGGTGGCTCAGTTGGCTAAGCATCTGCCTTCACAGGATCCTGGGATCCAGGGCTTTCTGCTCAGCAGGGAACCTACTTCTCCCTTTGCCTGCCACTCTGCTTACTTCTGTACTCTCTCTCTCCCTGTCAAATAAATAAAAATTAAAAAAGAAAATTAAAAAAGAAAAAGTATTAATGTCAGAAGATTTTGGAGGTTTTTTTTTTTAAGGTTGTTTGCTTAGTGGAAGAAACATTTGAGCTTGCAAAAGTATAAAGAAAAAACACCAAATGGTATTAGAATTCTGTAACCCAGACATAAATTAATGCAGTGAACATTTTGCTGTTTTATTCTAGACTCACACTCTCCTGTCCTGTATTAATGTTTAATTTCAAGGCTCAGAAAGAAAGGGTTGTCTCACCCTTGTTTGTAGGTAACAGTGTTGTAGGAGGCCACATTGGGAATCCCTGGAATTCTCAGCAAAGATACAGTATTTTCGGGCAGCCCTGGTGGCGCAGCGGTTTAGCGCCACCTGCAGCCCAGGGTTTGATCCTGGGGACTCTGGATGAGTCCCTGCGTGGAGCCTGCTTCTCCCTCTGCCTGTGCCTCTGCCCCCCACTCCTCTCTCTCTTTCTGTGTCTCTATGAATAAATAAAATCTTAAAAAAATATACAGTATTTTCTAATCATCTGCAATTAGGTCTATTTTGTGGAGGCTTAGAGCTGGATTCTTTAAAGGTCAAATCGTTCAAACATTTAATATTCCAGGTTAGGGAGCCGAGGCCCAGAATATTTAAATGACTGGTCTATAATGGTGTGTTACTGATTAGAGCTGAGACCAGGAGCCCAGGCCTTAAGAACTCAGTTTGATTTCCCTTTTTTAGAAGTCCTAATGATGCCAGGGGGTGGTATGAAAGGATATTGTCAAAGGGAGGAAGGCAAACCCCTTGGTTTTGTATTTTGTGAAATGACCATTTTCATGTGACTTAAAAAATATCTTCTGATCAAGATGAAGGGAAATTTCTGGGGGGAGGTTGTATTACTAAGTGCTCAGAGGAGATTCTGTGACAGCAGGGACCTGTTGAACTCACAAAGTCAGATGCCTGCAGGACCGAGTGGAGTCAATGGGCACAGGCTCTAAGAAGGGTTAGGCACATTTGTCGCTCTTGGGTAGGAAAGGGAGCCAGTAAGGCTAGGTCTTCTAAATTTCCAAGAGGCTGAAAATCCCAATTTTTTTTTTTTGAAAATCCCAATTTTTAATGTGAAACCTTCCAAATGTTAAATATTATCCATTATTAATTTATTGTTTGCTCATTTATTTTTAAGTAGGCTCCACATCTAGCATGGAACCCAACACAGGGCTTGAACTCACAACCCTGAGATCAAGATCTCAGCTGAGATCAAGAGTTGGACACTTAACCTATTGAGCCATGCAGGTGCCTCATGTCCATTATTTTAAATTCCTTTTTAAAACACTGTGTAGACCAAATGAAACATGTCTCTGGTTTGCCAAAGCACTCTGCAGGCCTCTAGTTTTAACTTCTAGGAGGATATTTTGGCTCATATAGTGCAGTGTGTGATAGGAGACTGACCTAGCAATAGGACAGAGCTCACAATGAGATGTCAAGAGGGTGTAGGCCAGCCTTGTTGGCATTACCTGGAGAACTTGTAAAAAGCACGCATTCCTGGGCCTCATGCTTGCAGATTCTGATTTAGTCTGGGGTATACTCTTACAGTCTGTATTTTTGACAAATATTCCAGTGGCTCATTAGCTAAATTATGGTACATACATTTGAATACTATACAGCTGTTAAAAACAATGGCGATGGCTTATATGTTGTCTTATGGAAATTTCTCCAAGATATACTAAGTGGAAAAATGTAAACACAGAAAAATTTATATAGCATATTCTCTCTTTTTTAAAGAAGATTTTTATTTATTTATTCATGAGAGATAGGATGTTGGGGCAGAGACATAGAGGGAGAAGCAGACTCCATGCAGGGAGCCTGATGTGGGACTCGATCCTGGGACTCTAGGATCACACCCTGAGCTGAAGGCAGACGCTCAACCGCTGAGCCACCCAGCTGTCCCTATATAGCATATTCTTATTCCTACACGTATACACAGAGAACATTTCTGAAAGCGTACAAAAATATGTAACAGTAGTTACCTTTGACCAAGAGAACTGGGGGTCTGGAACTGGGAGACTTTTTTTAATTAATTAATTAATTAATTAATTAATTAGAGACAGAGAGAGGCAGAGACATAGGCAGAGGGAGACACAGGCTTCATGCGGGGAGCCCGATGTATGGGACTCAATCCCAGGACTCCAGGATCACTCCCTGAGCCAAAGGCTCAACCACCGAGCCATCCAGGCATCCGTGGGAGACCTTTCTTAAAATATTTTATTTTTTAAGTAATCTCTACATTCAACTTGGGGCTCGGCTCACAACTTGGAGATCAAGAGTCACATGCTCTATTATCTGAGCCAGCCAGGCCTCCCTGAGTTGTAGATTCTTCTTTTTTCTCTTTTAAGATTTCATTTGTTTGTTTGTTTAAGAGTGAGAGAAAGAGAGAGAGTGAGTGAGCATGCATGAGCCGAGGAAGGGGCAGAGGGAGAACCTCTCGGCGGGGAGCCTGACTCAGGGCTCCATCTCAGGACCCTGGGATCATGACCTGAGCTGAAGGCAGCTGCTTAACTCTCTGAGCCCCTGACTTGTAGATGCTGATGCCAAGGTTTTGCAGGTCTCTATTGTAGGATTTGGGAGATAAAGATATTCTCACATGAAAGAGATGGTCTCTAGTTAGGCTGTGCTTCACCACCCTGACCCCAGGACACTACAGACATGAAGAAATTATTTTAAACAGCCAGTATCAGGGGACAATGGGAAAAGGAGCAGAGATTTGGAACTAGACTCATACCTGGCTCTGAATCTCAGCTTTGCCCTTTTGTTTCCTCATCAATAAATTGAACATGATACCATCTTGAAGGGTGGGAAGTACAGGTGGAAAAAGAGGATGTGTATAAAGCTTCTGTTGGGGGACACCTGGGTGGCTCAGCAGTTGAGTGTCTGCCTTCGGCTCAGGGTGTGAACCTGCCATCCTGGGACTGAGTCCCGCGTCAGGCTCCCTGTGAAGAGCCTGCTTCTCCCTCTGCCTATGTTTCTCCCTCTCTCTATGTGTCTCTCATGAATAAGTAGATAAAATCTTAAAAAAAAAAAAAAAAGCTTCTGTTGGCACAGCCTCACAAGTGGTATTATAATCCTCCTCTCAAAGGTTGCCTTGGTAGAAAGGGAGCCTTATGTCACCCGTTGAATCCCCCCACCCCACTCTGTGGAAGGGAAGAGTGTTATGGACACTGATACTAACACCTCCCCCTCCAGCCGCTGCTTTGATGGAAGCACTCCTGTTCATGCAGCAGCATTTTCAGGCAATCAGTGGATTCTCAGCAAACTGCTGGATGCAGGGGGTGACCTTCGACTGCATGACGAGAGGGGTCGAAACCCGCAGACCTGGGCCCTGACAGCAGGGAAGGAACGCAGCACTGCGGTAAGGTGGGCCCACTCTGTAGCCACAGCCAAAGCAAGAGCACTGAGCTGAAAGTCAGGAGCCCAGGGGGTAGGGGCTGATCCTGGGCACAGCACAGGGCTTGCAGTGGCCTTGACATTGGTCCTGGACATACAGGCCTGAGTTGAAGCAAGTTAACCAGCTATTAAACTTGAGGCAAGTTTGGTGAACCTTTCTGATCATCTATAAAGTGAGGAGGGAGAACAGTTGCCACTTTGACCATTAACTAGCACCTACTATGCATCAGATGTTCTGAATTAAATTCATTAAATGTTAAGTTATGTAATCTTCACAACTCTATCACATACGTACTGTTATTGTCCTCATTTTACAGATGCAGAAACTGAGGCCCATTGACATTTCATAACTTGCTGAGGCTGCACACTGGCAGATGTGACCTGTTTGAATGAGGTCTAAATAACATAACAAATATCATGCAGGCACAATACTGGGCACATGTAGGAAAAAGGGAAGTGGGCAGAGTGTTCCGTTCCCTCCCTCTGGTTCCCCAACTCTTTAGCTGTTGGCCTTGGACAAGTAATTTTGCTCCTTCTGCCTCAATTTCCTCATCTGCTGAAGGAGAGAGTTGGAGGAAATTTTTTTTCTTTTTAAAAAAATTATTTGAATTCAATTAACATATAGTGTATTATTAGTTTCAGGGGTACAATTTAGTGATTCATCAGTTGCGTCTAATAGTGCTCATTACATCACATGCCCTCCTTAATGCCCATTACCCAGTCACCTCATCCTGCTACCCCCTCCCTTTTAGCAATCTCCATTTGTATCCTGTGGTTATCCTATTGTCTCCCTCTCTGATTTTGTCTTGTTTTATTTTTCCCTCCCTTCCCCTATGATCCTTCTCTGTTTTGTTTCTTAAATTCCACATATGAGTGAAATCTTATGATAACTCTTTCTCTGATTGACTTATTTCGCTTAGCATAATACCCTCTAGTTCCATCTACATTGTTGCAAATGGCAAGATTACATTACTTTTGATGGCTGAGTAGTATTCCAGTGTGTGTGTGTGTGTGTGTGTGTGTGTGTGTGTGTGTGTATGTGTATACTGCATTTTCTTCATCCATTCATCTGTCAATGGACATCTGGACTCTTTCCATAGCTTGGCTATTGTGACATTGCTGCTATAAACATTGGGATGGAGGTGCCCCTTTGGATCACTACCTTTATGTCTTTGGGGTAAATACCCAGTAGTGCAATAGTTGGGTCATAGCTCTATTTTCAACTTTCTGAGGAACCAGGAAGTTGGAGGAAATTATTGCCAAATCATCTCCCTAGAAACATTCCATACCTGTAAAAAATCACCTGGGCCCTACCCTTTCCAGAGATTTCCCTGTCAGGGCTTCCTGGCTCCTCAGATCATTCGTGTCAAAACTGTTGCAGTTGGGCTGGAGGCCAGCATAGCCCTTAGTTCACCCCAGCACTGAACACTTCTTACCGTGTGTTGCAGATGGTGGAGTTCATGCAACGCTGTGCCTCACACATGCAGGCCATCATACAGGGTTTCTCATATGACCTCCTGAAGAAGATTGATTCCCCTCAGCGGCTCATCTGCAGCCTACCCCGGTTTGGTGGTCTCATACAGGGGTGAGTGCTGCCTTGGGTAGAATGTAATATTTGGTGTCACTCCAGCCTTCCTTGTATGAGCCCTACAGTGTGGTCCACCAAGGTTCCCTCCATATTGGTCCTGTCCAGCATCTGGCCTACTCTAAGTTGGTGAATGCTGACAGGATGTGACTGCTCCGGAAGTGGCCAGAGGAGCACCTTTGGCCACCCTGCATACAGGAACACACAAGAGAAATAAGTTCCGGGCTCTAGTGGGAACCACCCTGTGGTTGACAAAGAATGAACTTTTCAGGTCTGAGGAGCCCAGCCGAAAAGTCCTTCTTAGCAGAACAGCTAGCTGGCTTTTTTTTTTTTTTTTCATCTCCCAAACTATGGAAAGAATCTTTTATTCCTAGGATTGCAAAAGAACACAAATGCTTAAGTTAACTTTCTCAAGCTGTTTTAACCTAGTGTGAGAGGGATCCCTGGGTGGCGCAGCGGTTTGGCGCCTGCCTTTGGCCCAGGGCGCGATCCTGGAGACCCGGGATTGAATCCCACATCGGGCTTCCGGTGCATGGAGCCTGCTTCTCCCTCTGCCTGTGTCTCTGCCTCTCTCTCTCTCTGTGACTATCATAAATAAATAAAAATTAAAAAAAAAATTTAACCTAGTGTGAGAGATCTGCTGCTGGCTAGGTGGGCAGCCCCCCCAACCCCCACCTCCCGCAACCCCATCACAGCTGTGGGAGGTGGGCCTTAGGCTTATTTTCATGCTCAACTACCTAGCTCTTAGGGCTTTATTGACTTATTAGGGTTTGTATGCAGAGAATCCTTTCTGCTGATGGTGATGGTGTCACTTTCTGTAATCAGGGTTGATAGACTTGTCACACTCTCATAGGCTTCCTCTTCCAGTCCTTCCCTGAGCAAGTCCTGGTTCTCTTCTGATAAGCTGGATACTACTAGCTTCTCAGGAAAGATGAGTTAATTCCCTTGAAGACTAGTTACTCCTAACTGCCACCCCCACTGCTGCCACTCTTGCCAGTCAGCATCTAAAGCAACCTTTTATTTATTTTTTTAAAAGATTTTATATATTTATTTGACAGAGAGAGAAAGAGAGTGCACACAAGCAGGGAGAATATTAGGCAGAGGGAGGGGAAGAAGCAGGCTCCTCGCTGAGCAGGGAGCCATAGACTCAGGGCTCCATCCCAGGACCCTGAGCTCATGACCAGAGCGGAAGGCAGATGCTTAACCAACTGAGGGCTCTTAGAACAACCTTTTAGGGCAGCCCGGGTGGCTCAGTGGTTTAGCACCACCTTCAGCCCAGGGCCTGATCCTGGAGACCTGGGATCAAGTCCCACATCAGACTCCCTGCATGGGGCCTGCTTCTGCCTGTGTTTCTGTCTCTCTGTCTCTCTCATGAATAAATAAATAAAATATTAAAAAAAAACCCAACCATTTAAAAATGGAAATCAAGTTGTGCCACTCTCTGCTAAAAACCCTTTAGGGCATTTCCCATAGCTATCAGAACAAACTTCCAAATCCCTCATCTCATGTTGGAGGCCCTGCTGGGCTCAACTCTGCCACCTCCTTGCTTCCCCCTGCAGCTCCCCTTGTGTGGAGCTCCCTCATTCAGAGTTTGGAGAGACTTGCCCCAGTTTGTAGTGATTATATTTATATGTGTTCTTGCCTGTTTCTAATAAGACCAAACACTGCCAACTGAGAAAAGGAGGCAAAATTGAACAAGAGACAAAAAAGCCTTTTTTGGGGTCTCAGAATTGCAACTCAGAGAGCACAGAATCTGGTAGCAAGCAGAAAGGTGGAGAAAGTAAGCCTTTTTTTATGAGAAAGAAGGAGGAGGTAATTCTATAACTTAGATAAAAAAGAAAAGAGGAAAAAAAACCTCTGCTAACTGGTGCTAACTGCTTGAGTTGTTTTGGTTACTCTCTATTACATTGGTGCTATCAAATGAAACTATTCTTGGTAGGCATTAGTTAACTTTTCTGTCTTAACGTTCCTACCAAGTTTTATGCTGTGAATGCCATGTGTTCTGTTGAATTTTATGGGCAACTACATGGAAAACTGTTGCTGCTTCTGGCCCAGTTCAGGAGTTTATTAGTTAGAAAGGAAGATGGAGCTTCAAAATGGAATCTCTCACATCCAGAAATTTTTTTTAAAATTTTATTTATTCATGAGAGACACACACACAGAGAGAGGCAGAGACACAGGCAGAGGAAGAAGCAGGCTCCATGCAGGGAGCCCAACGTGGGACTCAATCCGGGGTCTCCAGGATCACACCCTGGGCTGAAGGCAGCTCCAAACCGCTGAGCCACCAGGGCTGCTCATGTCCAGAAATTTTATATAATTCCACAGTGCCAAGAGGGCAGGGCCTGTGACTGTCTCACTTATTGCCAGCCCTTCACAGTTTGTTTTGCAGTAGGGCTGAGTTCAAGGTGAGGAGCTACATGGGCCAGCCTCAAGGAAAATCAAAGTGAAGTGTTGAGAAACTTTAAAAAAGTCAGTTAATAATCTAGATGTAGCATTTATTTTATAGTTAGATGAAACATTATTTTTTTATGGGTTGGGCCACAGAGTGCTTAATGGAAAGTACAGTGGAAGTACACATATCACCCTTTTTTAATAGAAAGAAACCACATGAACCCTTGAGATAAGAATTGGCTTCTCAGATCTGTGAATGGGGCCATGTTCAGATAAGATTCCTCATAGATACATATTTACACAGATCCTGGTTGGGGGAAAGAAAATAAAAGCACTGAATTGAGAAGAACAGATGGCTTTATGGTTGTGGATAGCTGGAGTCCATTTTCTTCCTTCCACCCGGCTAAGTTTACTTACATAGACATGGCCTGAGAAATTGAGGTAAAAGAGCAAGAAGTGTTGGTCTTATTGCAATTGTTGCCCAGGTCCCTGCTGGAGAACTGCTAGTTCTGCTGCTGAAACAGTTCATATCCTCTGAAGAGCCACTCACACAGCCAGAAGGCCCCAGATGGGAAGGGGGAGCCTTATCAGTGGAGTCAGTGGGGAAGCCTGCCATTGCTGCCACTTCAAAATTTGTTCCCTTACCCAGGAAACAGTTGCTGTCCCTGTTTAAAGCTTAAAGGGAGGAAGGGACGGTCTGGTATGAGTTGCCAAGGAGATAGAGCCTAAAAGTACTTCCAGAAGCAGAAGTAAAGAATTTACCTCTGTTCATGAAAAGTGAGCATACAGAGACTCACAGAGCTGACATGAGGTGAGGATGAATACATGCTGACACCTGCCACTCCTTTGCCATTTGCTAAGGAAGGGAACAGGGCTCCAGCAGTAGCAGAATGTTTTGTCCTTCAATTTGAGCCTAAACTACTCAATCAGAAAGCATTAACCGAGTACCTCCTGTATGCATGGCACTGTGTCAGCCTCTGGGACCGAAAGAAATATAAACCACTCCTTTCAAGATACCTGCTGTTAATGAGGGTCTCAGTGTGCAGGTGGTGGTTTGGGTGGGTATGTAGGGAAAGCAGTGGTGGAATGAGCAGCATCAGGGTCAGGTCCCTCCTGCTGCTCTATGACCCTAGGCCAGCAGGTTTCTCGTCTCTGGGCTTCATTTGTCCCATCTATAAAAATAAAAGTTGAATAAGATATGTTTTGATTCTTTCCAACTTTGACCCATTTGAATTCATTATTTATTGCTGTGTAATGAATCCACTCCAACCCTCACCCCCCCCCAACCTTAGCAGTTTCAAATAGCAATAAACATTTGTTTCTCACACGATTTCTATGGGTCAAGACTCAGGGAAAGGCTTAGCTGTATGGACCTGGTTCAGGGTTTCTTATGAAGGTGTAGTCAAGATGTCAGGTGGGGCTTTATCATCTGAAGGTTTGACTGGGACTGGAGGATCCAGTTCCAAGATGGCATACTCACATCTTGGAACAAGGTATTAGGCCTCTCCGTAGGGCTACTAGAGTGTCCTCACAACATGGCAGCCGGCCTCCTTCAAAGCAAGTAATCAGAGCATTATCAGAACGGAAGCCCTGGTGGATCTAGCCTTGGAATTCAACCACTCCATTGCTTCAGTGTCCAGTTGGGCTAACAAGTCTGCCCTGTGACCTGTTAGGGGTTTCACAAAGGCAGGATTATTACCAGGAGGTAGAAATCATAGGGCCCTCTCATAGGCTGCCAATTATGTCATCTGTAGCTCTATGATAAGAAGTCAAGTAGTAAAGACAAAATGAACTACGCATTCTCATAGCTTGGCTCAGCATTGTTCCTTTGGATATGGGTGGTTAATTCTTACTTTTCTCCCTTTTAAAAATATTTCTAGAAACCCTAATGGCTCTCCTAACCGACTGCTTAAAGCTGGAGTCATTTCTGCACAAAATATCTACAGCTTTGGCTTTGGGAAGGTAAGAGGTTGTTGCTGACACCATGCATTTTCAGGGCCAACTGGAGAGCCACCTGGCCCTGACTCTGGCCTCCTACTCCCAACTTTATCCAATTCTTCCTTGTCGTCTCCAGAGAAGTAGTTCTCTTCTTTTACCACTTCTGCCAGACAGAGACCCCTCAGTGCTCCTGTCCTTACTGAAAAATGGATAAAGCCCTGGAAGTTTTCCTTGAATGACCTTGGGCTACGTTTGGGGAGTTTAGAAAATGATCCTTTAATTAATTCCCCGTGAGGGTCCCAGACTTGTCTCCTTGAAGAGAAGCAGAGCTACACTGACCCCTGGAGTCGTGTGTGTGTGTGTGTGTGTGTGTGTGTGTGTGTGTGTTTGAAGTTTATTTATGTATTTATTTAAGTAGTCTCTACACCCAGGGGCTTGAATTCAGGATCCTGACATGAAGAGTCACAGGCTCCTCTGACTGAGCCTTCCAGGCCGCCCACACTTCCTTGGGTCTTACTTGCGATTGACTTGCCCTCTATAAATTTTTGTTGAAATGCCTTTAAGGAATTGAGATTTTGAACTGAGAAACATTTTGAGGTAAAATAGTATCTTTCGGGTTCTTGGTTCTGCCCATCAAAGAGAGACATTTGGGAATGTAGCTGGGTGTCTGGGTGCTGCTTGCTGATAGTTTAGACTCCAGGCCTGCAGTATGTTGGTTGTGCTGAGGCAGCCTTGTGGGGGAGGGGTGGTCAGGAATGTCAGCTCTGGCCACATGTGGGTCTGGGTTCTGTGGGTGCCAGAAGAGGCCTCTGAGCCCCAGCCTGGTACTTCAGGCAGGCATCTGACCTCTTTTCATGAGCTTGGTTCCCTCTCTAGTGGAAGGGAAAGAGTATTACAACCTTGCAGGGTTTCTAGGCAGATTAAAAATCATACAAATTAAAGAAAAATGTCCAGGGCATAGGCAAGCTCAGCAAGTTAGTATAGCTATCGTTATTTTAGCTCGCTGACAGGATTCTTGGGGCATTTTACTTTTCCTCTTTTCTCCCCTTGATTTGAAGCTGTGCTCTCCTTTCAGTTTTATCTGACAGGGGGAGCGCAGCTGGCCTATCTAGGATCTCTCCCAGTAATTGGAGAAAAGGAAGTGATTCAAGCTGATGATGAGCCTACTTTCTCTTTCTTCAGTGGCCCCTACATGGTCATGACCAAGTAAGCAGAAGCTGGCCTGTGGGAGGTCTGATGTAGTCTTGCAGGAAGGGTGGGCTTCATGTGACTCCCTTATGTGTGGAGGCTTTCTCTTCAAACATAGGGAAACGCTGAAGAACATATGTCTAAATCAGTTTCTCAGCCTGGACACCATTGTTGATTTGGGCTGGTATCCTTTGTTGTTGGGGGCTGTCCTGTGTATTGTAGGATTTTAAGAACATTTCTGGTTACTACTCACTAGATTCCAGTGGAGTCTCTGTTCCCCTCCTTCCCCCACAGTTGTGACTGTGACAACCAGAGTGTCTACAGACATTGCCAGATTCCAGCCCCTCCTCCCCCACCCCATTGAGAACAACTCCTCTAAAAGATTACTCATGATGGTGTTCTAACTTCTCTGTTTTCTGGAGAGTTTGAGGCAACTTACTGTCTGGCTTCTGAGAGAGTCCAGAGGGTATTGACTGGGGCCTCAGTGGAAACCGGAACAAGTATCAGCTACAGCTCTCAGCAGGGGTGGCAGTAACAGGATTTGGCTATGACAGAAGTCCCTGGGGTGTTCTCAGTCCCCAGGGACCTGACCCCTGCAGGGTCCTGAGAATTGTCCTGGCCATGGTCTCTTACTCTTCTTGAACCTGAATGCTTCTTCCCTGCCTAGAAACACCCTTCCAAAAAGGCCTCTACCAGCCTCCTGAGGCCTTCTGTCCCCTACAGATATACCTCCGGTTTCCTGCCTATGCCACAGATTTGTGGTCTTTGTCCAAGTCATCAGTACCTTTCACCCAGCCTGGCCTCCTATCCGACCTCCCATTCTCTGACTATATTTTCTTGACACCCCTCCCTACCATTGCCCACACTACTGATGCTGTTGCCTTTCTAAAATGCAAACCTGATCGAGTCACTCCCTCCCTTGAATCCTTCAGTGACTTCTTGCCACTTATAATAAGTTCCCTAGGGGGAAAAAAAAGTTCCCTAGTGTGCTTTAGGATATGGGGATAGAGGGAAGAAGAGGAGGAAGGAGAAGGGAGGAAGAGGAAGAGGGAGGACTCAAGGGTGCAGGGTTGGGGGCTCTTTGTAGATTCTGTGTAACATTACTTCTCTAGTCTTTGGCTGGGAGAGCTGCTCATTCCCTGCTGCTGACACTTTTTCCTGCCCTTGTAGCCTGGTGTGGAACGGGAGCAGGGTCACAGTGAAGGAGCTGAATCTCCCCACCCACCCTCACTGCAGCAGGCTTAGGCTGGCTGATTTGTTAATTGCAGAGCAGGAGCACAGCAGGTGAGAAGGAAGTCCAGTGGCCTGGTATCTTATAGTCCAGATCTCTTTATAGACCCAGGTTCAGAGCTAAACAGTGCTGTCTCTGGGGTGTGGAGACAAGCTCCCCTCAGCCTCAGCATTTCCTGACTGTTGAAGTGGGTTCATTTGACTTCCAAGGGCTACCGAGAGAGAAGGGGGAATTAATGGATAGCCTGAGTGGTGGGAATGGTGGTGGTGAGGGGCTTAATTCTGTTAGCTGATTGACTTCCCATTACTCTTTTTTCTGGTGTTCCAGCCTCCAGTCCAGCCATTTTTCTGAAGCCTCCCCCTTTTTGGCCTTTTGCCCATCAGGACAGCCATGCATAGTCCTATCTTCATGGCTGTGCATGAGATTCACACAACTGAGGAGCTGAGTCTCTGTGAGGACATGCCCATGGGTGTACCTTAATACCTTAGGTTTTCAGGGTTAGTCCTTCACGTCTTGCTGAGACAGGATCTTAGTTCAGAATTTTACTCTAGGAGTGCTGAGTGAATGGATCAGGTTTCTACTCAGGCCACTCAACCCCTGCAAGAGTTGTGTCAGAGGCCAGACTCTTCCTTCTGGGGAAGTCAGCCTAAGGGGATCCAAGGAGGCTGGAAGGATGCATATACACAATGTGGACTTTGACATGAGACTGAGAGTGTGTGACCTTGGGCAGGTTCCTGACATCTCCCAGACCTTGGTTTCCTTATCTTGAAAATGAGTATAATGATATATATCTTATAAGTGGTTGTTAGGATGTAGATGACTTATACAAAATGTCTTTATCAGTAGCTCTTGGTGACATTGTAATTGTTGTTACTAATGACTCTAAGCTCTCAGGGTCTGATCAGTGAGAGGCTGTAGATTCCCATACTCCTATCTCTCCCACCTATACTGTTTTCTTAGAAAGACATTGTGTACAAATGGTATTTGTTTAGAGTATGTTCAAGGGGCCTAGAAGGAAGGAAAGCACCCAGTTTTTCCTCACGTCTTCCTTCCTTCTTCCTCATTTGAAGCTGCTTTTGTTTTGTAGCAAGCTGCGGCACCCTCACCTGCTGCAGCTGATGGCTGTGTGCCTATCCCAGGACCTAGAGAAGACCCGTCTTGTGTATGAGCGCATCACTGTTGGTACACTGTTCAGTGTCCTCCACGAACGGGTAAATGGCTGTTTCTGTGTATTTTTTCTTGCTGCCCTCTCCACTGCCCTCTTCTCCCTACCCCAGCAGTGAAGTTCTCATCTGTGTATGTGGGGAAGATAAACCTCCTAATTCTTTATTTTCTATAACTATATATGCACCATTTAAGGCTAATAACACACCTGATTGGAACTAGTGTGATTTTATTGCTGGTTGTCCTGTTTCTTCATCAGACCTCTAAGTTCAACAGACCCAGGAAACACACAGATGCATTTCTAGCTAACTGTAATCAAACAGCCCTTGGCTTTAATTACCTGTATTTTCACTTGTGCCTTTCAGGGCCTTTGCTGTAGAAAGAGGTTTGTTTACATACAGACCTGTATCACCACTCCCTCTCACTTTGCAAATTTCCTTGTGGGAACATCTTTCAGGGCCCACAGACTCCCTAGAAAGTGTGCTTTGTGCTAAGATGTGGCTTTAGAGAGGTCCTGAAGCATTTGCTTTTCTTTCTCCATGACTTTGTTCTAAAGACCCTGGGCAGGAATGAGAAGAGACCCTCCAGGAAGGGCCCTTCCCCAAAATGGCTAGCCATTCCTCCTGCCTGAGGACTTCCTATTAGTGTTATTTCTCTTCCCCCTCCCCTTTCCTCTTCTGTCATCTGATGAAGGCATTATCTTAAAATGCCATTTCTCTGGGGAACAGGATAGAGAGCCCAGAAATAAACCCACACTTATGTGGTTAGGTAACATGCAGCAAAGGAGGCAAGAACATATAATGGGGAAAAGACAATCTCTTTATCAAATGTTTTCAGGAAAACTGGGTAGCTACAAGCAGAATGAAACTGGACCACTTTGTTACACCATACACAAAAATAAAATGGATTACAGATCTAAATGTGAGCCCTCAAACAATCAAACTGCTGAAACAAATCATAGTAATCTCTTGGAAATGGACCTTAAAGACATACTTAAGAATATGTTTCCTCAGGCAAGGGAAACAAAAGCAAGAGTAAACAATTGGAACTACACCAAAATTAAAAGCTTTTGCACACACAGCAAAACCATCAACAAAACAAAAAGGCATTCGACTAAATGGAAGATGATATCCAAAATACATAAAGAAGTTATTCAACTGACTACAACCACACACACACACACACACACACACACACAAAGCCAAATAATCCCATTAAAATGGGCAGAGGACCTAGATAAACATTTTTCCAAAGAAGACCTGCAGATGGCAAACAGACACATGAGAAGATGTTCAGCATCACTCATCATCAGGGAATTGCAAATCAAAACACCAGTCAGAATGGCTAGACTTAGAAAGACAAGAAAAAACAAGTGTTGGCGAGATTGTGGAGAAGGAACCCTTGTGCATTGTTGATGAGCATATAAATTGGTGCATCCACTGCAGAAAATAGTAGAGAGGTTTCTTTTTTCTCTTTTTTTTAAAGATTTCATTTATTTATTCATGAGGTGTCTGCCTCTCTCTCTCTCTGCTTGTGTCTCTGCCTCTCTCTCTCCCCGTGTCTCTCATGAATAAATAAATAAAATCTTAAAAAAAAGAGTTATATTAAAAAAATAATACTGTAATAGAGTGTGGTGACAGGTGATGACTACACTTACCGTGGTATTGTGTAATGTATAGAATTACTGAATTTCTGTGTTGTATATCTGACATTAATACAACATTGTATGTCAATCATACTTCAATAATAAATTTTTTTTTTTTTTTTTTAAGAATGCCATTTCTCTGAGGAGAGACTTTAGTCGGCTAGGGACATTAGTGTGAATGAATTCCTTTCCTCTTAGGATCAGTCATCTAACTGGGCCAGGGGTGGGCCTGTCCTTTAAGCATCTGGGTTCTTCCAGCAATACAGGCTTAGGTGAGGGGATGCAGGACTGGCTCTGTTGGTAGTGGTGTGGTGGTGGTGAGCCCACCCTGAATACCAGGCTTTGAGAACATTTTGGTTTTTTTGTGGTGTGAAGCAGCTCCGTTTAGGGAAAAGAGTCAATCTTTGGAGCCAGGGGGATTGGAAGGGGGTACTAGGTCAGTGGGACTTTAGGCCAGTCACCTAATTTCCCTGAGCTTTAGGTTCCCCTTTTGTAAAATGGGGACTCTAGGTAGCTGTGAAGATCAATTGAAAAAACTTTAGAAACTGCAAAGCATTCTGCAGCATCTAGAGCCCAGTCCCTCTTGTTCCTGGCCATTTTATCCATTGATTCCAGCGGTCCCAGTTTCCCGTGCTGCACATGGAGGTGATTGTGCACCTGCTGCTCCAGATCTCTGATGCCCTGAGATACTTGCACTCCCGAGGCTTCATCCACCGCTCCCTCAGCTCCTACGCCATCCACATCGTCTCCACGGGGGAAGCAAGGCTAACCAACCTGGAGTACATGATGGAAAGGTGGGTGCTGTAGAGAAAGAGCCTGATCTGGGTGGGCCTCTTCCTCGTTGGTGGGCCAAACTGTTCATCATTGGGGAAAGCGGTTTCCTAAATACATTGCCCTGTCTGCCAAGGTTAGTGGGACTTGAGGTTACTTACTTCTGTTCAGGACATTCTCATTTTAATAAACATTTAACAAACAAGGGCCCATATTAGCCAATATGTGTAAATGCTCTAACTATCCACTTCGAAATTTTCGGTGGCTTAACACAATCGAGATGTGTACATTACAGCCTAGTAAGTATGTTGAAGGGGGAGCACCCACTGTGTTCCAAGTTCCTCCCATCTGTAGTTCTGCTGTCCCCAGGCCTCAATCTCCCACTTTGTTCTCTGCATTGCTGATCAGTGAAGAGAGGGCATAGAGGAGCAAATGGTATTTAGGGGGCAGCCTGAAGTGGCTGTGTCATTGCTTTCTGCTTCGTGGTTCCTTCCTTGCTGCAGGGAGGCTGGGAAGGGTCAGAGCTGTGCATCCTGGAAGGAGAGAGAAGGTGATGGGTGCTGATGAGCATCACAGTGGGTCACATGCCCTACTCCTGGGCCAGGTGCTTGGCTAGGTGGGCACTAAGGGCATTCCCTGCCTTTGAGGGGCTCAGTGAAGTGAGGGGACAGAGACAAAAACAACCTCCTCATTCAAGGGATGGTGGCTGTGCTTTATTTCCCATTTGGCAGGAGTCAAAGTCCTTCTGAGAGTTGAGGGACATGTGCCATCTCTTGTCCCTAGGCAGAGGATCCCTGCACTTCTTGCTGCCTTCCGTAGCTCTGAGCCTTCAGCCCATTGTTGGTTCTGCTCTGCTATGAAGCTTCAGCCTTGCTCAGTCCTGCCTACCTTGGTTAAATCTTTGTCCCCACCTACTGTCCGGTTACTGAGGCTTTGTTTCAGAGTCTCTCTGGTCATTGCTTCTCACATACTCTGTAACAGGTTTTTCTCATGATGTGAAAAGCTCTGTGAGGGCAGGGATTTCTCTTTTATCCACTGCTGTATCTCAAATGCCTAGAACAGGCCTTCAAATGGTAGGTACTCAGCATATGTTTTCAAATGAATGAAACAGAAAGACTTACTTCCCAGACCATGGGTGCCCCTAGCCTTTCTTCCTGCAGAGGAGAGTCAGGGGGCTTGGCTCATTTGGCTCCAAGGGCCTTCATGAAGAGTTTGAATTATTCTTATCCTAAGAACACCAGGGTGTAATGAAGGGCTTTTCTTTCTTTCTTTCTTTCTTTCTTTCTTTCTTTCTTTCTTTGTTTCTTTCTTTTCTTTTTTAATAAGCAAAATGGTGTTGTGGATGATTGGTAGGCTAAAAAGGTCACTCTGGCTTCTACACGTGAAGAAGGGGATGAGAGGGCAGAGGAGCAGTTAGGGTGTGACCGCAGCAGTTTTCCCTGTGAGTACTGGTAGAGGCCAGGCAACTGTCTCCAGGCAAGCTGTTCAGCCTGGGATCTGGTCCATTCTCAGTTCCAGTTTGAACCTTCCAGTGTCTCCCCAGTGCCTAGAAGACTTAAGTCCAGACACCTGGCAGGTTGTGGAAGCCTTTAAGGTGGGGCCCCACCTCCAGTGCCAGCCTCATTGTTTCCTGCTCCCTACCTGGCATCTGAAGCTGCTTTCAGTCTAAGCTGTTTCTGGGTGCTGCTCCCCATACCTAGAATAGTTGGTACTCATCTGTTTCTCCTCTTAAACTCAGGTACAATCCCACCACACTCGTGAAGCCTATAATGAAGCCCTGGTCCTTGAGCACTTTGTGTATTACATTCCTCCGCAGCCTAGTGTGTCTGCCCCCCCAGATGGTGGCCTCTGAGAGGGCAGGGTCCGTGCATGTTCATTTTCAGCTCAGGACCTGCCACATAGTAAGTGCTCGATTGAATGTGAGCAGATGAGGGAACAGAGTCTAGATGTTTGAATGTCGATTAAGTGAACAGACGAGTCCAGATGATGGGAAAACTTAAAATGGTTCAGAATGGGATTGACCACTTGGGCTGTGTGCAGAAGCAGGAGAAACTAAAGAATTTGGGCATTTTTGCCTTTGGTAACAGCAGACAGGCTTTTCAAGAAAACTGTGGCAGAGTCCAAGGTATTTGCTGGGTATAGAGTGCCATCTGTTGTTGACATGGAGGCATGACCGTTTCTTCTCTCTGAGCTATCCAAGAGAAATATGAATCCTAGAGTGAAGAACTTTGGAGATGGCTCAACCAAACCTTATCTTTTACAGATGAGGAAACAGGCCCAGAGCGGGGAAGAGATGGTCTCAAGTTACCTGGCTGTGGCTAGAACCAAGTGGTAGGAGAATGTTCCCTGGCTCTGGGAGCAGAATGGATTGGAGGTTGAAGATAGGAAGCCCAGGCAGGAGGCCACAGTGTGGGGCCTGATGGTGACTAAGGAATCAGAAAAGAAGTGAAAAATGTGAGATGCACTGAGGAACTGGGATCCACAGATTGGTCAAGTGAGGGACTGGGAGGTAACTGAGTAGGAAGGTAAGGTGGTGTGTGTTTTCTTTTGTGTTTGTTGACCTCAGAATGGAACTTCAGGCAGAAATGTCAGTCAGCAAGCAATTACAGCCACAACAGCATACCTTCTTTGTGTGTGTGTGTGTGTGTGTGTGTTTTAAAGGATTTTATTTATTTATTCATGAAAGACAGAGAGAGAGAGAGAGAGGCAGAGACACAGGCAGAGGGAGAAGCAGGCTCCATGCAGGGAGCCCGATGTAGGATTCGATTCCAGGTCTCCAGGATCACGCCCTGGGACAAAGGCAGACGCTAAACCACTGAGCCACCCTGGGATCCCCTAGCATACCTTCTTTGGAAACTGATAACATGAGCTGAGATCTAAGAATCCAGACTAACTTTCAATTCCACGTTTATTTTTGGTAACACCTTATTTGAGCTAGTTTGTTTGTTGAATGTTATTGTCAAGGGTAACACTCCCATCTCGTGGTATAAAAATGATATAGCCATTTTTCTTATTCTTCAAATCCTTCTTAATGGAATCTTTAGAACTGGAATTGACTTTGCAAGTGGTATCACATAGCTGTAGCCAAATGTAATTTTAATAATGTCAGAACTGAAGCCTAGAAAAATAACTGCCCCAGAATGACAGCCAGAAAAGAAACTTCCCACAACTAGTTTTAATAGAGAAGGAAGGGGGATTGTGAAAGAAGAAGGTGAGTGGAAGTAAAAGAGAAAGGATATAAATGCTGGTTTTAGGTGACCTGTCCCTTACCAGGGCCTTAGATAAGCCTGAGAGGCCTGAGAAGGTAGGTGAGTGTTTCCCTTGAAGAATCATCCCATAAAGTGAAGAGCCAAGCATGCTAGGTCCTCAGAGTATATCGCTGATGGTAAAACACTCCATTGCTTTTCCTGTGCTACTAATATGATTTTGGTATACCTCTATGCTGTTCATACTATACCAGACCACACCTAACTATTCAGCAATACAACCACAAAATCAATACTGACTTTTCTAACTTGATGGCTTCCTGAACTCATTGCCATCTTCCCAAAACTCTACTGGAAGAGGTATTATTTAGGGAAGTTTGCTCAAAGTCTGAAAAGCCCATCCCATCCTCAAATCTATGTTTTGCCAGATCAGCAAAGAATTTCTGGTTACTTGCTTTTTAAAAACTTAGTTATTGGGATCCCTGGGTGGCGCAGCGGTTTAGCGCCTGCCTTTGGCCCAGGGCGCGATCCTGAAGACCCAGGATCGAATCCCACGTCGGGCTCTCTCGGTGCATGGAGCCTGCTTCTCCCTCTGCCTGTGTCTCTGCCTCTCTCTCTCTCTCTCTCTCACTGTGTGCCTATCATAAATAAATAAAATTTAAAAAAAAACAAATAAAAACTTAGTTATTGGTGTGCCAGGGTGGCTCAGTCGGTTAAGTGTCTGATATATGATTTCAGCTCAAGTTATGATCTCATGGTCATGAGATCGCACCCCATGTCAGGCTCCACACTTAGCAGGGAGTCTGCTTGAGATTCTCTCTTCCTTTCCCTCTGTACCCACCCTTCCCCGCCATGCATGTGCTTTCTCTCTAAAATAAATCTTTAAAAAATTAAAATTAATTATCTACTAGCATTCAGTCTTTATCAAATGTCTAACATAACATTCATATTAATAAGTTACTTGTATAGTGGGTTATAGCTCAGAGTGTTACCACACGCAAGTTTTCACTAAATGCTCATGACAGCTGTAGACAAAAGTCAGTGCTGACCTCACCCTGAGGATTCTTGTTAACTCGAGACATTTAAGATGCTTTGACTTCGTTCTCAAAGAGTCTAGTTGGGAAGTTGAGTTTTTTAAGCCAGTGAACCTTTGAAGTGCTGAACTGAGAGGACTTGTTCCCAAGAGGCCAGAGTTCAGAAGAGAAGCAATCACAAGGAGTTGGAGGAGTACCACAAGGCTTTGATAAAGCAGATGGGGTTTGAGGGGGATCTTGAAGGAGTCTTATATTCATGTATTCAAAAGTAGGCTTTGAGGCCCTTGTGTAAATTTAGATATATATGCTATAAAAAATAGGTGTCTCTTCTCATGGAGCAGACTCTAGAAGAGGGGAGAAGATAATAAGCAGTAAATAAGTGCTCTGAAGCCAGTGAAAGAGGGCTGTGGGTGGTCAGGGAAAGCCTCTCTGAGGAGGTAATTTTTGAGCTAATACCTTTGTTACAAAAAGCATCCAGTCACATTGGGATCTCTGGGTAGAGCATAGCAGGCAGAAGAAGCCAGTTTGCATTACAAGGACCTGAAGAGGTGATGTATTGGAGAAACTCAAAGAGAGCTACCCATGACTTGAGTGAATGAATAAGAGAGAACAGTCAGATGCAGTAGGAGGGTGGGCAGGGCACACTCAGGTAGATGAGAACAGCAGGCAGAGAGGGTTAGCTCTCAGGATCTAGCTGGGTTTCTAGAAACTCAAGGAGTTGCCCATCTTTAGAGGTAGATGTTTCACAAATGTACCATATGACAGTCATGATGATCTTTTATTTTTTATTTTTAATTTTTTTTAGATTTTATTTATTTATTCATGAGATACACAGAGAGAGGGAGGTAGAGGCAGAGACACAGGCAGAGGGAGAAGCAGGCTACATACAGGGAACCTGACATGGGACTCGATCCCGGGACTCCAGGATCACGCCCTGGGCCAAAGGCAGGCGCTAAACCACTGAGCCACCCAGGGATCCCCTCATGATGATCTTTTAAGACATGAACCTGACCTTGTGTTTCCTTCTGTAGCCAGGATGGACGTATACACAGGGACCTGACTCGAGTGCCCCTCCCAATCCAGCTGTACAACTGGGCTGCCCCAGAGGTGATCTTACAGAAGGCAACCACAGCGAAGTCAGACATTTACAGCTTTTCTATGATCATACAGGAGATTTTAACAGGTAGATCTAAGAGCTCATTGTGACCAGAGTCTCTAATTGGATTTCTGCTCCCCCAGGAGTTGGTTTTATGAAAATGCAGGACATAGAAAAAGAAATTTCTTCAAGGAGACTTCTTTGTGCTTATGAAATATATGAAATGATTTCCCAGAAATCTTTCTCTTTTGACCTGTTCTTTGAGACTCAGCAAAGCCCACCTATCATCCTATTAGTGGTAATGCATTTAACCTAAGCAAAGTTTTTAAACTGAATATTGCTGTCAGTGCTTAGGGGTCTCTATGAGATGCCCCTTAAGAACTTGTAAATGAGGGGTGCTTGGGTGGCTCAGTTGGTTCAGCTTTGGTCATGATCCTGGAGTCCTGGGATCAAGCCCTATATCAACAGACTCCCTGTTCAGCAGGGCATCTGCTTCTCCCTTTCCCTCTCTCGCTGCCCCACCCCCTGCTTGTGTGTGTGTGTGCGCACTCAAATAAAATCTCAAGTTTTATAAAACTCACTCTCAAAATCTTCAAAAATTAAAAAAAAAAAGAACTTGTAAATGAGGGGAAAAGGCTGGCTTTGGAGAAGTAAACTATGAAATCAAACACACCTAGGGTTCAGTGAAAGACATGGAAGCTTTTCCAAACTTGCAAGACCCTAATGTGAAAGAAGTGACCACATATCTGAAGACACAGGAATCTTTCAGGAGAGGGGAACACACATACAGTAAAACCACATTCAGTGAAGGGGTAAGAGTCCCCTCCTATTTAGCAGTGTTTACCTTCTAAGAGGCAAAACCACACCTTCCATGAGAGGAATGCATTGGGCTACCCATCCTGATGCCATGAAACATTCCCTGTGGTGTCTAGGCCTGCCAGCAGGGAGCCCACATGCACATGATTCCATCACTACTTTTTTCTGTCTCTGTAGCAGGAATTTCTCTGGTAAATGGGTAAAGCAGTGTTTTGTTTATGATTGGTAGTTTTTTCTATAAAGATAAATTAATGTTTATTTTTAAAGATTTTATTTATTTATTCATGAGAGACACACAGAGAGAAGCAGGGACATAGGCAGAGGGAGACGCAGGCTTCTTGGGGGGGAGCCTGATTGGGACTCCATCCCAGAACCTTGAGATCATGACCTGAGCCAAAGGTAGACACTCAACCAACCACTGAACCACCCAAGCACCCCAGAAATGAATGTTTAAAGGGGATGAGTGACTTGACTAACATTACCCAATTTTACCTGATTTCTTTTTTTTAAGATTTTATTTATGTGTGTGAGAGAGAGAGAGAGAGAGAGAGAGCACACAAAGTAGGCAGAATGGTAGGCAGATGGAGATGGAGAAGTAGGCTCCCCGCTGAGCAGAGCCCAATGCAGAGCTTGATCCCAGAACCCCAGGATCACGACCTGAACAGAAGCCAGACTCTTAACTAACTGAGGCACCTAGGTGCCCCTCCTCTTTTTTTTTTTTTTTTAAACATGATTTTTAAATGCTACTCCTATGGCTTTTTCGTTAACAGATAACATACCCTGGAATGGCTTAGATGGCTCAGTTATTAAAGAAGCCATAGTCTTGGGAAAATATTTAGAAGCCGATGTCAGGCTTCCAAAACCTTACTATGATATCGTTAAGTCAGGCATCCAGGTCAAGCAGAAAGACCGAACTATGAACCTTCAAGATATCCGGTACATTCTGAAGAATGACTTAAAGGTAAGCTCCGAAGCTGTTAGTTTATTTCTGCTTACTAATTGCAGCGGTGTAGGGGGTTAGAGACCAGGAAGAAGCTAGAGATCAAGTTGTAAGAAGCTTTGGATCTCATCACACCTTTTCTGGGCTCCCAAGAAAAGGAACTACTGCTGCTTCACTTGGTGAGGGCAGCAGGGAATTGATGAGGGAGGCTGGGGAAGCTCGGCACATAATGTGATTCAGTGACTGGGAACTCTTGTTATTATTTGAAAAATACTAGTAATAACAATGAATTAGCTAATTTGGATTATAGTCTGACAGGAGGTAGGGGAGTTTTTTTTTTTTTTTTTTTTGAGGGAGTTTATTTGATACCTAGATCTGTTTCAAAACCACTAGTGAAGGAGAGGGAGTTTATTTGATACCTAGATCTGTTTCAAAACCACTAGTGAAGGAACGCCTGGCTGGCTCAGTTGGAAGAGTGTGAGGTTCTTGATCTCAGGATTGTGAGTTTGAGCACCACATTGAGTATAGAGATTACTTAAAGAAATAAAACTTAAAAAAAAAACCAGTGACATTGAGATGATTATAGATGTGTCCTTGATGATATTTCTCTTGTTATAGGATTTTCTTGGAACACAAAGAACTCAGCCAACTGAGAGCCCCAAAGTGCAGAGATACGAACTCCATCCTGATGTCAATGTCTATCTAGGACTGACATCAGAACATCTGAAAGAGACCCCTCACTTGGAAATAAAAGAGCTGAAGGAAATGGGTATGGCCTTAACCCACATAAGTATTATTTGATACGAATGTATTATGAGAGTTGCTGGCTACAACTAATCAACTCCTCCAAACTGTACACTGGGAAAAGTGATGCCTTAGGGAAAAATCAAGATGCTTGAAATTACTAAGCTAAATTTTTTTGGCTTCATAAACACTTTGGCTGGATCCAGCACTAAGCAGTAACAACCAGTTTATTTCTGGCATGATTATTCTTAGGAATTTATTTAATTCACAAATAAAAATGGTTTTTAAATTCAATACTATTATCTGTTCATTACAGAAAACTTGAAATCATACAGAGAAGAAAGTTACTTACCATTGTAATTCTGCTAATTAGAAATAATTTATTAATATTTTGATATTTCCCTCCATCCTTTTCCTATATCCTTATAGCTTTTTAGAAATCTTAGAATTCAGAGCTGAAAAGGACCTTGCAATCTATCCAGCTTAGTATCCTTATATTCCAGATGAAAAAACTAAGGGCTAGAGAAGTTGTGGCTTGCTTAGGACTCCAGGGCTTGTAATAGAGCTGGAATCCAGGCCAAATGACCATTATCTCTGCCTCTCTTTGGACAGGGTTGGAAGCCTCCAGAATGACCCCCAAGCTCATTACTTTAGCTCCTTCATCCTCTTCTCTGCAAGCTGTACACCATCAACCGGGGTGATGGGTGGTCAGTTCTGGTGTTATTTTTTGAATTGATCCTTCCCATGATGCAGGGTCTTCTCGGGCAGTGTTTTGGTACTTTTATCAGATGCTCACCAAGAGCATAACTTTAACCAACATGAATATTCAGACTCCTGTGTGTATAAGAAAAAGCTATGAATTTAGTCCTTACGATTCAGGGGTCTGTAATTTGCTAGTCCTGACAGTTATGTGTATTTTTTTTTTAGTTATGTGTATTTTATTTTTTTTTTAATTTTTATTTATTTATGATAGTCACAGAGAGAGAGAGAGGCAGAGACACAGGCAGAGGGAGAAGCAGGCTCCATGCACCGGGAGCCCGACGTGGGATTCGATCCCGGGTCTCCAGGATCGCGCCCTGGGCCAAAGGCAGGCGCCAAACCGCTGCGCCACCCAGGGATCCCAGTTATGTGTATTTTAAATACACTATGATGTAAGCTTAGAACATTTTCCCCAGGGTTTGATCTCTCCCCAATTTTCTACTCAACTCACATCTAAATGGAAATTTTCATTTGTTAGAAATACCCTCTCACCCTTTGTGAGGGTATCTGATAGTCTTCCACACCTGTGAAGGGAATGGGAAAACAAAAAGCTGCTTTCTCTCTTCTCACACCATTCGAGCTGCATGGCAAGGCCACTTAGCGGCATGTGATCACTTTAATTAGTTGCTTGTTGCCATTCTTTCCAACAGGCAGTCGGCTTCAGTCACCCAGGGGTCCCTCTTCTCCCACTGGGAAAGCAGCACCAGATCCTCGGGTCCTAGGTCCAAGTATGGTGGCTAACGAGACTCAGAACCAAGACACTGCTTCTCCTGCCTGCTCTGTGGTGGAAGAGGCTAGGAGCCCCAGCCCAGGGCAGACAAGCCTCTGTAGCTTCGAAATCAATGAAATCTACTCAGGCTGCCTGGACAGGGGGAATGACAAAGAGGAGGAACCCCCAGGAGCTGGTTCATCTTTTGAGGAGGCTGGACCAAGCCAGGCAGATGAACTGAAGTCCATGGAAGAAGAGTTGGAAAAGATGGAGAGAGAGGCATGCTGCTTCTGTGATGAGGATGAGAGCTCTTCAGAAGCTGGCACAGAGCTCTCCTTTGAGGACTGGGATTGGCAAAATGATTCCCTTAGTTCACCCAGCCTGCTTGAGGCAGCCACGGGCAGTGTGGGTAATAGGCGCTTGACTGAGGAGTACATCAGTAAGTGTGTGCTGAACCTAAAGATTTCACAAACAGTAATGCATCAGAATGCCCATTTGCTCAGGAATATCCAACAGAAAATTGATAAGCTTGAGATGATACAGAAGGAGCAGGAGGAGTGCAGGTCTTTGTGGGCTTCTTCAAGAGAATTTGCAAACATCTATGACTTTCCTTCAGCTGTGGGCCCCCCAGCGTCCAGCTATGTACCTCCTGTCATGCAGCTGTCAGGAGGCCAGTGGCTGGACACCAGTGGCAATTGCCTAACACTGACAAGACCTTCTATAGTGAGAGACTTCCAAGGGGGACATTTTGGCAAAAAGTCCAGGAAAAAAAGTGACTGTGGCTGGAAACCTGTCACCCAAGTCTCTGAAGAAAGCACTGGGGATCAGTCAGAGAAGAGCCATCAGGTACAGCTAAGAAGTGGGAGATAGGGCAGCATGTTCTATTGATCAAAATATTCAAGTATTGACAATTTTACATGATTGAGTTACTAAATATGGTATCTCGGGCGGGTATTAATCCCCATTCTAAATTGTTTATTCATTCACTCAGTAAACATTTATAGAGCTAGAGGCTATACATTAGACCCTGGGATATGATGATGATTGAACCACAGGCTCTACTAGGAGTAGTTCCAGTGTGGGACAGAGGGGCCTGGTCATCAAAGAAGACAGCTCAAAGGAGCTGAGAAGACACCATGGGGACTGGCCTAGGAGATGTATCTTGAGGCTTAGTGAGGTTGCCGAGTGGCTCCTCCATGAGCTCCTTAAGGGCAGAGCCTGGGTCTTACTCATTCTGTGCCCTAGCAAGGGTACTTGGCATGTAGAAGGTACTTGATAGATGGTCATTGAGGGAATGAATAAATGAATTAATTTCAATAAGTTCACACATAGAAAGCTGTCTGCCTCTTGAATCACAATTTTATTTTATTAATTTTTGAAATATTTTATTTATCTGATACACACAGAGAGAATGGCAAGCAAGCAGAATGGCAAAGGGAGAGGGAGAAGCAGGCTCCCTGCTGAGCAGGGAGCCTGCAAGCTTGATCCTAGGACCTGAAATCATGACCTGAGCCAAAGACAGATGCTTAATCAACTGAGCCACCCAGGCACGCCTGGAATCAGAATTTTAGAGATGGGTTAGCCTTATCATTTTACAGAGTGTGAAGCTCAAGATCAGTGACTTAAACTTCATAAAGTCCAGGTGTTACAGAGATGGTGTTGGGGTAGGAGAAGTCATCCCCATTGGAAGAAGGATTTTATTACTAAAGTTTTTTATAGTTGCTGGTCTATAGAGATAAAAGGCTGGTCAGCTTTTAGTGGGTTTTATTATACTTTAAAAATTCTCCACCTATAGTGCATCCCTTTATTCCCTGCACCAGGCAAATGGCCCCCACCCCCACCCCACCCTCCTTACTGCACCACTGCCAAGGCCCACAGCAGATTAGGGGCTGGTTTCTTTACTCCTAGCCTGGTGTTCTTTCACTGTACCCTGCTGAATTTCAGTGAGACTCCAGTCCTCACTTAAAACGTTTGGAAAAGCATTGGCATTTGTTTTTTGTATAAAGAGAAGGCAGAAAGAATTTACTTAGACTCTAATACTTCTATTTCTGTTGAAAATTCAGATTTGCTAGAAAACTGTTGGAAATAACTTTTCTTGTATATTATGTTTCGGTTATCTCTTGCTGTATAGTAACAACAAAAACAAAAAACGAAACTTAGTGGCTTAAAATAACAGTGATTTATTATTTTTCAGAATTCCATGTTGGGGCTAACCCAGGTGATTCTTTTACGCCATGTAGCTTGGGCTAGGATCACTCCCTTGACTGTATTCAGCTGGAGGCTGGGCTGGGCAAGAAGGTCCAAGGCCTCATTTATATGCCTAGTGTACTGGGCTCCTCCTAGTGGCATCTCTCTGCACTTGACTTTCTCATCATTCAGTAAATAGTCTCACCCCATCTTCTCTATAGCATGGCAGCTGTCTTCCCAAGTGAAAGCTTTCCCAAGTGAAAGCAGAAGCTGCCAAACCTCTTAAAAACTAGTCCCAGCCCTGGGACAATATCACTTCTGCTTTTTTCTGTAGGTCAAAGTCACAAAGCTAACTTAGATTCAAGGGGAGGGAAATCGATTCCAGCTATTTTGTGGCAGTGTGGACAAGAAGGGAAGGAATTGATGGCAGGTGTCATTGAAAACTATCTACTAGTACATCTGATTATGTATAAAACAATTATACCACATTGAGTTTTTCTTTAAAAAGTCTGCCCTGACTTTCTACTATAATCAAGGAATATGGCATTTCCAACTAAATGGATTTTTCAGATAATTGAAATTCATTCCTTTAATTTCTCAGTTATTAAATTTTTAATCATGCCAAATGAAACATTACAAACTTCCCGTTATCCTAAATCCTATTTTGAATACATTCTTAATATTTTCTAATCTTTCTTTGGTGACTGACATTTTTTAGGACATGTGTTATTTGATGCTCCATGATAAAGTTGTTGCCTTCAGCTTCTGCTAAGGAATCTTTGCCCCCATGCAAAATCCTCTGGAGCTCATACTTCAGGGAGCTTATGACCATTTTTATGCATCCTCTCACCTTTGGACATAATGCTGCTATCCCAGTGCACCACATTTGCTACCTTAACTTGTTTCAGGTTAGAAAATATGATGAACTAAGTTTGTGAAAATTGGAATAAGCAGATCCAGAATTTTCTCTTTGGGATAAAATATACAGGCTTTAATTTACTTCTATTTCCAAAGTATTGTAGCTTTTATTTTACTGTGTCCTATTTTCATAGCATCCCCAACTGGTGAATTCAGGTTACTATTTTCTGTATTATATTGATGACAAAGCTGAAGCAGAAGACTCTCTTAGATTATTCTGAGGAAGGGTTAGACTAGAACCCAGGACCCAAAGCTCCTGCCACAAAGCTTGCTGACTTAGTAATAGTATAAGGGAAAGTTACTCGATTTTTGAAGTCTGTTTTATCTGCTCATTCTTCACTTGCTCCCAGTCTGGACTGGCTTCCTGGGGGCCAGCATTTCTGTATAAAGACCTCCAGCCAAAAGATAAGTTACTAGATATGAAACATGCAAAGGGAAATAATCTTTGTAAGTCTGGTTATTTTTGTATATTTAGCAAGAATGACTTGAAAAATAGAATGTGAGAGTGAAGAGGAATTTCTTTTATCAAAGTACTGAAACACATTTACTACTTTTTAAGCTGCCAACTTTTTGTGGACCTGGAAAAGAGAGCCCTTGTGAACAATCACAGCCCACTCAAGGAGCCAAGCACAGTTTGGAAAGAAACAGGAGCCCAAATACCAGCAGGTGGGGTAACATTTTATTCTTTGTGTTATCATGCCTTTAGACACCCATGTGGTCCCAAAACCACTTAATGATCTTCATGTGTCTTGTGACAAAGAGATTGGGTGATGAAGAATACTAACAGAAATAGATCTTGACAGGTTTTCTATTTCAAGTGGGCAGGATGAGCCATATAATGGAAACCTGTAGGAGAAAACATCCAAGGTAAAGGAACTGGCAGGCTAATCAGGCAGAAATCATCATTTGTCAAAAAGCAAAGCACCTTTCCTTTCCAAAGATTCCCAGATTATTTTTCTTATTAAAAGAAATGCCAAATATTCCAGCTGTCAGTGCCCCAGAGACCAAACTATTTGGAAACTGAGGTTGTTCAAAATAAGCATCCCTGACTCCAGAGGAGGGGTTGACCAGTATAAATGTTACCATGCAGCCTTTGATTTTCAGCCAAATCAATGAAATCAATCAGCTTCAGTACAAATTCTAGGAAGGAGAGCATATGTGTACCCTGAGTTTTTCAGAATTTAGGTAAAACAAATTTTATTTTGCATAGGGGCAATTCTTAAAGGGCCAATAAATGTGTTTCAAGAAAGTATCAATTTTAGTTTTCCTTTTTCTGTTGTTAAATGGTAACTTTAATCCATGTCTTTGAAATCAGTTCTCCTGGAAAAAAAGTAACTTTTTGTTTCTCTCCCAGTGGTAACTGAGACGAATGACAAGAGTTTTCTGTTCTGTTTACATTGGTAAATGTGCTCACTAGGGGAGAATCAAGGAAAATGCCCAGAAATTTTAGTTCAATGTACTTTACCTTTACAAAGGGAATTACTGTAGAACCAACTAACTGGCCTCAAAGGGGTTAGAGCTCACATCATTGAGAGAAGCAGGTGTGGTGACAGTATGGCCATTAGATGACAAAGCAAAGCCATAGTTGTGGCCTCCCCTACCTCCATTCACCCTGTTCCCCCAAAAGAACAAAAAACAGACAAAAGAAAGTTTGACATTTTGCTACCAATTCACCTAGTTTTTTTGTATGCTTTTAAAAGTTTAAATTGTAATTATATACAGTTACATTTATTTATTTATTCACTCATTCATTCATTTTTAAGTAAGCTCCACACCCAGTGTGGAGCCCAATGCAGGGCTTGAACCACAACCCTGATATAAAGACCTGAGCTGAGATCAAGAGTCAGATGCTTAACCAATTGGGCCACCCAGATCCCCCCATATAGGTACTTTCATATCCTGATTTTTCATCTTAACATTAGAACATTAGAACAAGAGCATTATCCCACATTATTAAAAAACATGCTGGGGGTGCCTGACTGGCTCAGTTGGAAGAGTGCAACTCTTGATCTCTCTCTTATCAACCTAAATTCTGTGAATTTGAGCCCCATGTTGGATATAGGGTTTACTTAAATAAAGTTTAAAAAAAGAAAACATCCTATAAATTCAAACTTGTTGGATTTCCCCCCCCATTGTTGAATTTTAGCGTGTTTCATGCTTTTATCCATTTTGAATAGGACTGCAGTGACTTGTAGTGCAGCTTTTTCTACACTTTGGGTTATGTCCTTGATGGATTGATGGAAGTAGAGTTACTAGGTCAAAGGATTTAAACATTTTAAAGATTCTTGATAGCTGCTGCCAAATTGCTCTTTAAAGGAGCCAGCCAGTTCAGCAGTGTCTCTGTGTCTTCCCTGATCCAGCAGGGAAGTAGGGCATTCACAATAACAAGGAATTCATACATATGCCACAGGTCACATATTTTCAAGGAGTTACTTTGGTAGGCAATGAGATGTATATGTAATCATGGATATGTAGAGGAAGGAAGATTTCCTTAATTTTCAGATGAGGAAACCTTGGTCCTGAAAGGTTAAAGTATGCCACAGGCAGGCATCTGGTGAGTGGCAGGTAGTGTCTTGAACTTAGTGAGAGTAGGCTGAAGATCTCTGAATGTTCTTTAGACTCCTTGGTGCCTTGTGGCCATTTTTGCAAATGTTAATTATTGTGCTCTCACTGATATGCAGGTGGGCTTGTTACTGGAGATTCTGATGGAAGGGTAAGGAACAGTTAATTGTATCATCACCTGTGTTCTGTGGCATTGTTAGGGGGCTCTGCTAGGGCTCAGGAGTCTGTCTGGTGAAACTGGGTTTCAATTGTGGATTTCTTTTCCCTCTGAAAATTTCTCAGGAGTGCTTTTAGAATCATGAAATCTGAACTTGGAAACTGAAAAAAGTCTTCAGAGATCTTCTAACCTAGTCCTTTCATTTCTTAGCCATGGAAGGCCTAAAGAGTCCAGTGCCCGAACCAGGCTGACTCAGTTTAATAGCGCACTTGTCACTGTGTCAAGCCACCCCAAGGGACCTCTCCTGTTGGCTAGCCCTGACCAGGGCTCTATGAGGTAAGGAGTTTTGTGATCTGAACATTGAGTCTGGCGCTCTCTGGTGGTAGTCATTCAGCTTGAGGAATGGCTCTGAGAGTAGGGGGGACTGTCCTCTGGGTGAGCTTGTGGGTTCAGGGTTGTGTCAGAAACTTGAGCAAACTGGCATATTTGTGTCCACCCTTCCCCCAATTTAGGATGAGTCTGGAATCTATATCTTCTGAAATCTGTAATGTGAGGTTAAGAAATAATGAAGATGATGGAGATGTACACTTAAAATGGAAAAGTGAGTAAAAAGTCATAGATTTTGTTGGGCCAATGAAATTTAAAGTATATTTCTAACCTGGTTTTTATCTCTAAGTACACAGCTCGTATTGCACCAGCCTCCCACATTTCTTTTCTTCTATTGGATCATTTTAGTTTAAAAGCAAGGCCTTTTTGATTATAAATTGCAGAAAGGAAGTGCTTTTTTCTTCTTCTTCCTCCTCCTCCTCCTCCTCCTCCTCCTCCTCCTTTTTTGTTTACCACCTAGTCAGGAAAAATAAGCCTTTATTAAGATGAGTTTTTTAAACATTGTTTAAATGAATACGTTTTGTGTTATTAGTCTAAAGAAAAGAGATTGTCAAGCCCACCACTATGTATACTGTTCTGTTTAGTGATTTATTTTTCTGGGAAAAACTTTTTTCATTTTTGGACTTTATAGGAAACATTTCCATTATATATGTGTTGATGCATATTATATAACAAGCGTAGCAAAACAATACACAGTATAGAAATTTAATGTGTAACATTCATTATGAAAGTAGAGAGCATGCAGTGTCACTTTTGCATATCCTGTGGGCGTTTCCTTTTGTATCAGTTTTATAAGTTTAAAAGGATATGGTATCTGTGTTTTTTAATACTAATGTTAAATAACAATAACAAAAGTTTAGAACATTTGGAATGAAGATGTGCTCATGCAGACACACATTAAAAAAATACACACACACATATACACACATACACACACACACTCCCAAAATATGAGCTCTGTGTAGTCTAGAGAGGCTAGACAAACTCAGAGAGAATCCTTTCCACTAGTCTCTACAGACTGGGGGCTACAGATGTTATTTTATTATAAAATTTTCACAGCAAGAATGTCTATCTACAAGTTTTCTGCTACTTTCCATTACCAGAATTCAGAAATGAACTGAAATTCTTTCCTTCCCTCTGTTATCAATTCTCTTCTCCCTTCAAGCCAAGCAGGGCCAAGCTAAGGTTGATGCAATTATAAAAAGGCAATTCTTTTTACAATATGAGCTATAAAATATAAAAGTATAATGCAGCTCTTTAGGAAGCAAAAGCTTTTATTTCCAGTGCTCACAGTTCTATGTTAAATGCTGCTTTCTCTTCTCTCCAGTGGAGGTGAAAGAAATGGCAGAGAGAGCAGCTACTGGGCAGCTGATGGTACCACCGTGGCATCCTCAGAGTAGTATGACTCTAGAGGGTGAGGCTAAAAATGAGCCTGATTCCCTGCTACAGCTCCTGATGAGGGACCCTGAGAAATTGGGCTGGCAGTGCACTGTAGAGTATCCCAGGAAAAATGATGAGCCAGGAGGAAATTGCAAATGTGACAAAATGGACAACGGTGACTGTGACAGTGATCAGCATGGCAGAAAGCCTGGACCTCAAAGCTTCATCAGTAAGTTCAGTTGGAGGCATTGGGATAGGTGAACTCTATCAAGTTGTTAGTAAACCTCCTGGCATATTTCCTTTGCTTGGTCTTTTCTCCTTTTCTCTGGGAACCCTGAATTACCTGGGAAAGCAGCATACCCTTTTGATTCTACTGTCCTTCCGGAAGGTAAAGAAATCCAAAGATTTGTGAGTTTTTCTGTTACTGGAGCAGATCTGTATGCTCCAAGGAAGCGGAATAATCTCTATACAATGATCCTGTCCCTGGATCTAACCTGGCAGGGAAATGAATCTTTCTTACTTGAGTGCAGTGGTAGATAGATGGCCATTCCCTACTGCCCATTTCTTTGCATTGCATTTTAAGCCAGAAAAACTCCACTGGCTCCCAGAGATTCTATGCCAGAAGAACCTAGAGACAAATGGCATTGACTGTCATCACTTTATAGAATTTATAGGTTTAAACTGAAGGCCATGTGGTTCCACCTGTTTATTTGTTTGAAAGTAGGGCATGGAATATTATTTCATACTTGTTTACCAGTCAAAGAAAGATGCATCTAAAATTATCACTTAGGTAGACAATCTAGTGGCTTGGGCTCTTTTAGTATTTAGAATCTGTTCCTTATTAAGCATTGCTTTTGAATGTGTGGGCAAAAGGATTGATGATACAAGACTATGTATTGGGGCCAGGCCAAATCACTTTCTGGACTGAACTTGACAGATGGGACATGGCCACCCTTGGCAGAATATTCACACATCTCTTCTCTCACACCACTCTTCTCTCCTTTCATGACATCTAAATATCACTGAATGACTATGGCCCTGGTTGTGTTGAAATCATTAGGTAACAGGCACCTGTCTCTCAGAAAAAATGAGCAGCCAGAGCATAGTGAAGTCTTTCAAGCAAGTTCTGATGCGTCTGTGGTCATTGAGAAATCTTACAGCGTAAGTAATATGGCTTGCAGAGCCAGGTTGAATCTGACAAAGTAGAACTGAGTTGTTATATACTACGACAGTGAAATATTGTCTATAGTAGTTCTTTTTTGTTGGGAGTATGTGTTCTCACGTGTCTGACACAAATGAGGAAGTTTTTCTTCCCCGCCTAAATACTTTTTGAGTCAATTCAACTTAGAGCATTGTGTATCTTGGAGCTTGTGCAGAACACAGACAAGTGTCAGATTCAGGAAGCCCTTGAGCTTCCTGTCTGGTTGGATAGATGAGACCAACTCTGGAAGCCCAGTGTGAGGTCAAGTATCAAAGCTTATAGCCCAACAGTTGACTGAGGTCTGATTGGAGTAGGAAGAACAAGGCCAGGGTTGTGATGAGAGTGCCTTTGCCTAGAATGTCCTCTAAGACCCAAATTCAGCTCTCAGCAGAAAGAATGTGTTCATGCCTGATGACTGCACCTCAGCAGGATCAGTGTATTGAGGTTCTAACCCTGTTTTAGTTTTTTTTTTTTTTAAGATTTTATTTATTTATTCATGAGAGACACACAGAGAGAGGCAGAGACACAGGCAGAGAGAGAAGAAGGCTCCATGCAGGGAGCTCGACTCAGGACTCTATCCTGGGTCCCCAGGATCACACCCTGGGCCGAAGGCAGCGCTAAACCACTGGGCCACCGGGGCTGCCCTGTTTTAGGGTTTTTTTTCTTTCTTTCTTTTTTTAATTAATTTTATTTTTTATTTATTTATGATAGTCACAGAGAGAGAGAGAGAGAGAGGCAGAGACACAGGCAGAGGGAGAAGCAGGCTCCATGCACCGGGAGCCCGACGTGGGACTCGATCCCGGGTCTCCAGGATCGCGCACTGGGCCAAAGGCAGGCACCAAACCGCTGCGCCACCCAGGGATCCCTGTTTTAGGGGTTTAACACATCCTTAAAGCATGCAGTTGGGCTACAGTCCAGCCAGGCTGAGGGACCAGAATTTTTCAATATTATGATATGAGGACACAGTCACTTAAAGAATATAAACAGCAACTGAAAATGAAATAATATAAAAATACAATTGTAGTAACATTTTTCTTTTTCTCACACGAGACCTGGAAGGATAGGCCATGTTAAGTATACTGGCTTGACTGGAGAAGCAAGTCTGTCAGGAAAGTGGGGAGAGTATGTGAGGCCAGGCTTACCTGAGAAGTTTCAATTTGATATGAGAGGTAAAAGGGAGCAGCTGCCAAGTGCATAGGAAGAGGAGGCTTGTTGCAAAAGGAACATCCAAGGAAATAAATCACGAAACCAATATTTATCCAAGGAAATAAATCACGAAACCTCTGCAAAGAGATGACTGAAGGTGTAAAGAGGAGTTAGTTTCCTGCCCATGTGGTAATCAGTGCCTGCATGTGGAAAAATCAGCAGAAAAGGAAGAGGTGGAACAGAGATGTTGAAGAAATAATTGATATTTTGAATTTTCAAATTTTATTTTTATTATTGAGATTGCATTGTTATTTTTATTTTAAAGGTTTTTTTAAATTTACTTGAGAGAGAGGGAGAGAGAGAGTGCAGACATGAGCTGGGGGAGAGAAAGAGGGAGAAGGAGAGAGAGAATCCTTTAGCAGATACCCACACTGAGCTCAGATCCTGAAGAAGCAAGCTCCATCTCAGGGACTTGGGATCCTAACCCAAGCTGAAGGCAGATACCTAACTGACTGAGCCACCCAGGCGCCTTATGTTGCTATTTTTAACATCATGTTCCTTCGCTTGCTTTTAAACTGTAGCACCCAGGGGACTCTTCAGTTGCTAGAGATCTCAGCTTCCTCATCTGGAGGACAAAGCATCTGTGGGTGTTCAAGCTCCATCCCAGCTTGAGTTGTCTAGGGCCTTTCTTAGTATTTCAGAACAGAAATGTCACCCAGCTCCCTCCCCCTCCATTGTGCAGATGAAGATGATGAGTCCCAGGACTGTCATTTGCCTCACTTGCTGCAGAGGGTTCATAGCTCACTGGGGAAGGAAGTCAGAGGCAAATGTTTGAGCAGGCAAGAAGGGCCAGCTCAGAGAGTATCACTCTTACTACTGGGTAATTTTAGATAACCCCATTATTAACACTGTATCCAACTATAAAGGGATTTGTTTACAATGAACACCAACCTAAAAGTGACTTCCTGCATTGTTAATAGGATCAGTCCATGCGATCAACTTGTTCACCAGAGTCTTCTGAGGACATAACAGATGAATTTTTAACTCCAGAGCATGAATATTTTTATTCCTCGACTGCTCAAGAAAACTTAGCTCTAGAGGTAAAAACCACAGTTTAGGGTAAAGTATTTTTCAGCTTTCTCTATTGCCTTACTCCTTTTAAAATAGCTTAAGTGTATAATATTGACTTAGCAGTGTTTTCATGTGTTTTGAAAAGACATCTGAAAAATAAAGAGTTTTGAAAATGGAAGGTCATACGCAGTTTCTCCCAACACTGCGGTTCCTGCATTTGTACAGGACTTTGTACTGTTTTTCAAAACACTTTTCTTCATGCTACCTAATTCACATATCGTTCCTTTGGAGAAGAGAAGAAGGCCTGCTGTTATTCCTCTGTGTGAAGAAGTGGTAGGGAATTAGCCCTGGCCTGCCAAGCGTCAATAGCAGGAGAGCCAGGATCAGAGGCCAGGGCTCAGCATGATTGTGAGGTTGAGCAGTTCATGGGGCTTTCTCAGGAACCGGCCTAGCTTTGACAATCACCTATTTGTACAGAGTATTTTCAGTTATAAAATGAAGCTGCTTGGATTTCCTTATTTATAGAATTTCTACCTCACCTTCCTGCTAACCTGCCACCTTTTTTGGACCTTTTACCAATACGGAAGATGGGATGGAGGAAAGAGGAGGGTTGTATGTCTCAAACACAACATTTGACTGACAAGAATTCAGTGATACAGCAGAAGCATCATTTCCACTATTCTGCACTTCTGATAACTCAGAGCAGTTTTTCATTATTAATCTTTCAACTATTCTTGATTTTACTGTGAGCAGACTGGGATGTTAAGAAAATCTTTAATAAAAAGATAAAAGTATATATATATATATATATATATACACATACACACACATACTATGTACATATGTATATGTATATATACACATATATAAAGTGTAACATAGAGAAAAGTACACAGCTCTTAAGTGTGCAGCTCATGGACTTGCACAGATTGAACATGTTCATGCAACTAGCACCAAGATCAAGAAGCAGAATGTCATCTGTCCTCCAGAAGACCTCCTGGGCCTCCTCCTCCCAGTCACTGCACCCTCTCAAATGAACCAGTATTTTGAATTCTCACCCCAGAAAGTAACTTTGCAGTCTGGGCCATTTTTCCAAACTTCTTTGGCTTTTCTTTTTCTTTTTTTCCCCTTATTTTATTTATTTATTTAATGATTTTATTCATTTATTTGAGTGAGAGGAAGGGAGAGCACAGAGGGGGAGGGGCAAAGGGAGAGGGAGAAGCAGACTCACCGCTGAGTAGGGAGCTCCATGTGGGGCTGGATTCTAGGACACTGAGACCATGACCTGAGCTGAAGGCAGATGTAAACAACTGAGCCATCAAAGTGCCCCCCAACCTTTTTTTGCTTTTCTGATGAAGGTCCTAGGAATCAAAACATCTTTGTTGGAAGGTTGGAGAGGAGGGGATAATGAAATAAAGAAGGGAAAAGTCACATAGTTCCTCCTCACAGTGGGAGGCAGGAAGCCATGTTGAGGAGGAACATAAAGTACAAATGAGTACTTAGTGTCTTCGAAACAGGTTTATTCTTTTTCTATAAAAGATGCAAGAACCTTACAAGGATTTTCAAGGTTTAAGAACATCAAGAGATTCTCCTTCTACCTTATTATATGTCAGCCTCCAGTGACCCTGCTTTCTTTGCTCTTTTATTCTTATGTAGACCTCCAGTCCCATAGAAGAGGACTTTGAAGGAATACAAGATGTATTTGCCCAACCTCCAGGCTCTGGTAATAAGCTCTTTTTTTTTTTTTAAAGATAATTCAAGCTTTTTTCTTTTATTTATTCGTGAGAGACACAGAAAGAGAGGGGCAGAGACACAGGCAGAGGGAGAAGCAGGCTCCATGCACCGGGAGCCCGACGTGGGATTCGATCCCGGATCTCCAGGATCGCGCCCTGGGCCAAAGGCAGGCGCCAAACCGCTGCGCCACCCAGGGATCCTGGCAGATTCCTTTTTACTTGCCTTCACTTTCTATTGGATGACAGATCTTTAGAGCTGGAACAGTCCTTAGAGATAACCTCCTCCAGGGTTTTGATTTTTACAGATTAGGGCTTAGGGATTTCCCCTCATTAGAATGAATCTCCTGCCCCTCACCAGCCCCCTGACATCCGCATATCATGTTATCTGTACTTGCCTTGCATTCTTTTTTTTTTTTTTAAGATTTTATTTATTTATTCATGAGACACACACACACACACAGAGGCAGAGACACAGGCAGAGGGAGAAGCAGGCTCCTTGCAGGGAGCCCGATATGGGACTTGATCCCAGGTCTCCAGGATCAGGCCCTGGGCTGAAGGTGGTGCTGAACCTCTGAGCCACCCAGGCTGCCCTTCCCTCTAGTCTTTCATTAGATTTCTCACCCCTTTGTGGCACATAGCAGATGCTTGGTTATCTTCACTGAGCTGAATTGAAGGATTTGCTCAGGCCATACGACTGGTTATTGGCACAACAAAAACTGGAACTTGCTCTTCATGTCCTTTTCTACTCCAAAAGGCACTTTGCTTGCTTAGCATCTTGGCAAAGAGTTAATAACAGCCGATAGAGCATAGTCAACATAACATCCTTCCCTTGGGAGGCCTTGGGTTCTATATAACACAGCAGCTGCTTTCTGCTACATGAGAAATTAACTTTGGATCAACAGCCCGGGTGTGGCATAAGATAAGATAGAAGTGAACCACTGGTTCTGATATAGACATTTTAAAAATTGTACACTTTTACTCTTTTAAGGTATACAACCATCTATTTTAAAGCCAGAGTTACCCACTTATTGAGCCATGTAGCTGTCTGTTTTCATGTCTCAGCATTCTGAACCCAGGCATAGTGGGCTTGAGTTCTGAACTTTATTCCCTTCCTCCTGCTGGATGCTGTCTTCCACCTCTAACTTGATTCATGCCCCTGTCACAGTCAAGAGCATGTTAAGAAGCAATAAGCTTTTAGATGAACAGTTAAATTCTCAGGACAACATGTATTAAAAGTCCCCAGACCTGGGTCTTAGGTTATCCACTTCTTTCTGTGGAACCTCTGCCCATGATCATTTTCTGTGTGAACCTGGCCTATGTATAGCCATTTCACTTCTGTTTGGAAGAGGGTAGAGTAGGATAGAGAAGTTATGGGGCAGATAGGTAAAAAACCTAGGGCTAAGTTTGATACAGATATCCGAAATACATGAAGAAGCCTCTGATTTACTCACTTCCTGCTCTGAGCCTTTTTCTTTCCCACTTTTCCATTAGGACTCTAACATATACTCCTTCAATACCAGGTGTTGCCACAGGTACCAATTGGACCCATGCTGGGTTCAAACCCAGTTCTGCCACTGATTTCCCGCCCCTCCCTTGCATTACCTTGGGCAAGTCATTTCACCCCAGAGCCCTACTCTTCCTTTGTATAAAATAAAGGAGAGAGACTAAAATCTCTAAGTTTTCCTCCAGCTCTAATTGTGCTTATTAGGAATTCCTTTATGCTTTCTAGATATTTGAAAGAAAGTCATGAAAAGAAGAACCCCAATTTTTCTCTACTGTTGGGGTTTCAGATGTTCTTGGTACCTGCTAAAGATGACATTGCTTTGGTGGGCCTCCCCTTTGCCCACCAGACTATGTGTTCCTAAGGAATGGCAGAGGGATCATGTGCATTTGCCAAGAAGCCAGACTGCTCTATCTGTCCCCTTCTCTATAAACCAGAGCAGTATAGTGGTGGGAAGGAAAATGGATAGTGGCCCTTTCTGCCCGAAGATCTGCAAAGTATCTTACTGAGAACTGGTGGGGAGTATCTTCAGACACTTGATGTCAGGGGAAACAGAGCATAGTTGAAATAGCCACCCCCCCCCCCCCCCCGCCCTCCTTAAGTGGAGTCTGTTAGCCAAGAGGCACAGTTAACATCCTGGGAATGCCCAGCTAATGGTCTTTTCTATTTGGATCTTTAGTGAACAAACAGTTCTTGGTTTCAACGCCCCCTGGTGTCTGTTGACAGGAACCAGGTCAGTTTGCCTTCCTGAAAAGACAAAACAACATTTGTCTCTAGAAATAACCGAGTGGTTATGACTGAAAAGCCAGTAAATGGCTTGATTGTATTCTGAGAGTCAGAATATAGTTACCCCTTCTGAGCAAGGAAAATAAACTTTCAGAGCAATCTCCTTCAGCACTCAATCCAAACCTAATTAGGAAGTACTTTGTTTATCTAGATTATTTCTTATTCTGGACCAGACCAAGGGAAATTCTAGGAAATGAAAGTAATAATCTGGGTTGGCAAAAATTCAGTTAAAAAATGTATTTACTTTATTGTTTAAGGTGAAGAAAATTTCCAAATGAGAAAAAGCCTTGAAAGGAATGCTGAGATTTTGACTAGGTCTCAATTCCAACCTATACAAAGGTATGTGCTAGTATTTTATTTGTAGTTTCAGCCTCACAGAAGTAATGTTAAATGATGATAATATCCCATATTTATATATTGCTTGTCCTCAAATGTCTTAGCTACCATGTCATAAAAATGAGCTTTGGACAGCTTAGCTTTCTTAGGATTTGTTCAGCAAGATTGTGAAGGATTGTGAAAAGGAGTCATTATCTGTATTCAGATCCTGACTCTGCCTTTCCATCCCTGTAACCTTGGTCAGGTTTCTCAACCCCTCTCTTCTGTTTCTCCATTTGTAAGATTCCAGGAACAAGAATACTTACAGAGAGTGCTGACATAGAAATTGAAAGTAATAACATAACTCCTGGCATTTAATGCAGAGAAATGTTCATATAAACACACATATATAGGGGCACCTGGGTGGTGCAGTTGATTGAGCATCCGACTCTTGCTTTCTACTCGGGTTGTGAGGATCTTGAGATCGAGCCCCTGGTCAGGCTCCATGCTCACCTTGGAGTCTGCTGGGAATTCTCTCTCCCTGTCCCTTTGCCTCTCCTGCTTGTGCTCAAGCTTTCTCTCACTCTCTCTCAAATAAATAAATAAATAAATCTTTTAAAAAAAACCCAAATACATGAGTGTTTATAGCAACTTTATTTATTTATTTTAGTTTTGCAACTTTATTTGTAATAACCAGAAATTGGAAACCCAAATGTCATCAAACGAGTCAATAATTTAACAGACTGGTACATCCATACTGTGCAATACTCCTCAGCAATGAAAAAGAATGCACTATTATTGATACATGCAACAACCTGGATAAATCTCCAGAGAATTGTGCTGGGTGGAAAGAGCAATCCCCCAGTTATTTACTATATGATTTCATTTATATAACTTTCTTGAAATTATGAAATTATAGAAATTAAGAACAAATGAGTGATTTCCAGGGGATAAGGAAGAGGTACGCAGTAGGAGAGAAGTAGATATGCCTATAAAAGGGCAGCATGAGGGATCCCTGTGGTGGTGGAAATGTTTTGTATCTTGACTGTATCAATGTTGATATCTTGGTTGTGATATTGTTCTATAGATTTGCAAGATGAGGGACGCCTGGGTGATTTAGTGGTTGAGTGCCTGCCTTCAGCCCAGGGCGTGATCCTAGAGTCCCGGGATCGAGTCCCACATCAGGCTCCCCGCATGGAGCCTGCTTCTTTCTCTGCCTGTGTCTCTGCCTCTCTCTCTATCTCTCATGAATAAATAAATAAAATCTTTAAAAAAAAAGATTTGTAAGATGTTACCATTTAGAGAAACATGGGTAAAGTATGTTTCTTTAAACTTGATGTGAATATGCAGTGACTTCAAAATAAAAAGTCTGATTTAAAAAAACTAGTAGTAGGGGTGCCTGGGTGGCTCAGTTGGTTAAGAGTCTGCCTTCGGGTCAGGTCATGATCACAGGGTCCTGGAATTGAGCCCTGCTTCTTTGGGCCCCAAGGTCAGAGGGCAGTGTTTCTCCTTTTCCCTCTTCCTCTGTGTACTCGCTTGCACACTCTCTCCCTTTCTCTCAAATCAATCAATCAATCTTAAAAAAAAACCCTATAATAGATGTAAAGTGCCTGGTACAATAACATTCAATTTACTTTCCCTCTTTCTAGGCCTCAGCTTCTTTATCTATAATAATTATAGCTACTATTTCCTGAACAGCTACCATATACCAGGTACTCAGTTTTCTGAGATTTAATTCACGTAACAGTCCTCCGAGGTATATACTGTTATCTCCATCTTGTGAATAAGGCAAGTGAAGTTCAGACAGTTTAAGCATTTTTTTTAATAAATTTATTTTTTTATTGGTGTTCAATTTACCAACATACAGAATAACACCCAGTGCTCATCCCGTCAAGTGCCCCCCTCAGTACCCGTCACCCATTCACCCCCACCCCCCACCCTCCTCCCCTTCTACCACCCCTAGTTCATTTCCCAGAGTTAGGAGTCTTTATGTTCTGTCTCCCTTTCTGATATTTCCCACACATTCTTCTCCCTTCCCTTATATTCTCTTTCACTATTATTTATATTCCCCAAATGAATGAGAACATATAATGTTTGTCCTTCTCCGATTGACTTACTTCACTCAGCGTAATACCCTCTAGTTCCATCCACGTTGAAGCAAATGGTGGGTATTTGTCGTTTCTAATGGCTGAGTAATATTCCATTGTATACATAAACCACATCTTCTTTATCCATTCATCTTTCGATGGACACCGAGGCTCCTTCCACAGTTTGGCTATTGTGGACATTGCTGCTATAAACATTGGGGTGCAGTGTCCTGGCGTTTCATTGCCTCTGTATCTTTGGGGTAAATCCCCAACAGTGCATTTGCTGGGTTGTAGGGCAGGTCTATTTTTAACTCTTTGAAGAACCTCCACACAGTTTTCCAGAGTGGCTGCACCAGTTCACATTCCCACCAACAGTGTAAGAGGGTTCCCTTTTCTCTGCATCCTCTCCAACATTTGTGGTTTCCTGCCTTGTTAATTTTCCCCATTCTCACTGGTATGAGGTGGTATCTCATTGTGGTTTTGATTTGTATTTCTCTGATGGCAAGTGGTACAGAGCATTTTCTCATGTGCATGTTGGCCATGTCTAGGTCTTCCTCTGTGAGATTTCTCTTCATGTCTTTTGCCCATTTCATGATTGGATTGTTTGTTTCTTTGGTGTTGAGTTTAATAAGTTCTTTATAGATCTTGGAAACTAGCCCTTTATCTGATATGTTATTTGCAAATATCTTCTCCCATTCTGTAGGTTGTCTTTTAGTTTTGTTGACTGTATCCTTTGCTGTGCAAAAGCTTCTTATCTTGATGAAGTCCCAATAGTTCATTTTTGCTTTTGTTTCTTTTGCTTTCGTGGATGTATCTTGCAAGAAGTTACTGTGGCCGAGTTCAAAAAGGGTGTTGCCTGTGTTCTCCTCTAGGATTTTGATGGAATCTTGTCTCACATTTAGATCTTTCATCCATTTTGGTTTATCTTTGTGTATGGTGAAAGAGAATGGTCTAGTTTCATTCTTCTGCATGTGGATGTCCAATTTTCCCAGCACCATTTATTGAAGAGACTGTCTTTCTTCCAGGGGATAGTCTTTACTCCTTTATCGAATATTAGTTGACCACAAAGTTCAGGGTCCACTTCTGGGTTCTCTATTCTGTTCCATTGATCTATGTGTCTGTTTTTGTTAAGCACTTTTTTCTAAGGCTGCAGTTAGTAAGTGGCTGTGTCAGTCAGGATAGCCTAGGCTATGCTGTATAACAACTTCCAGATTTTAGTGGCTTAAAACAGCAAAAGTTAATTTTTTTTTGCTCAGACTCCATGTCCATCGTTGGTTCGCTAGAAGTGTTCTGTGCTATATTACCTTCTGTCCAAGAGCCAGGCTGAGGGAGACTCCATTCTTGTACTTGATTGCTGAGGCAGGAAAAAGGGAGCATGAATTGTGCACTGTCCTTAAGGTTTCTCCCCAAAAGTGACTCACATCACTTTCATTTATATTTCACTAGTTAAAACAAGTCATGCAACCATTTATATAAACCAGGAGAGCCAAAAAAAAAAAAAATGCTCTCCTACTGTATGCTTAGAAGAGAAACAAATACTCTAGTGAACAGAATTAATAAAGTCACAACTCCATCCAAAATCCATGCTCTTCCTTTTGTACTGTTGGTCTCATAGGATTGTTGCAAAGCTTAAAAACATGAAAACATATGAAGAATTTAGCATAGGATCTGGCTTGTAGTTTGTATTTAACAGATATTGAAATTGAATCCTAGATAGTGGTTAGAATATAAACAGGTCAAGTTTGTTTTCAGTATTCTTTTCTGCTCATTTTTTGGCATAAGTCTCTCTTGGCCTTGCCTGATGATCCATGCAGGAAGCTGTCTCACAGGTAGTAAAGCCCCATGGCTCTGCCCTTTGCCCCAGCCTCCATCTCCGGCAGATTTCCTGTGCTCTGTTGATTTCCTCAGGAACTTGCTCACTGTCATATAGTATCACCGGCTGATTTCCGATGGGCTGACCCTTAGAGGGTATTTATTCAATCTCTGGAAAAGAATCTGAGGCCCAGAGCCAGGCCCAGACATGCCTGAGAATATGTGGCTAGTCATTAGCAGAGCCAGGACCAGAACCTACTCTCCATTTTTTAAAAAAATTATTCATGAGAGGGCAGCCCTGGTGGCCTAGCGGTTTAGCGCTGCCTTCAGCCCAGGGCATGATCCTGGAGACCTGGGATCGAGTCCCACATCGGGCTCCCTGCATGGAGCCTGCTTCTCCCTCTGCCTGTGTCTCTGCCTCGCTCTCTGTGTCTCTCATGAATAAATAAAAATCTTAAAAAAATAAATTATTCATGAGAGACACAGAGAGCAAGGTAGAGACAGGCAGAGGGAGAAGCAGGCTCTCCGCAGGGAGCCCGATGTAGGACTGGATCCCAGGGATCATGATCTGAGCCAAAGGCAGATGCTTAACCACTGAGCCACCCAGGCATCCCCTTACTTTACATTTCTGAGCTTCAGGAAGTACCCTTCCTGCTGCCTCTCACACTGGGCTGATTACCTGGTTTCTTGTACTAGATTAGTGCACTATGCTAACAGGGGATTCATGTAATTTTCTCACTTTCTCTCTTACAGTACTGAAGGTGAACAAGAGGAGACATTAAAGGAATCACCAAAGGAGCTGAAAGACAAAGACATGTAGGGCCACCAAAGGGTTGCCTAAGGATGTTGTGTAAAGTCTTGGTTTTAGGGGAATAGTATTTCCTTATTTGTAAGAGAATACTTTCTTCCCATTTTTATGTATACATTTAAAGTGAGCCTGTTTCTTCTTTCACCAAAAAGCTGTTATGATGATGTGATCTAAATTAATAGCATCTTGTAATCAAGGAAATATAGTGGTAATGATGATGATATTAGTAAGTGTAAACTTGAGGTAGATGAGATCTGTTTTCCACATAAATATACTTTCATCCATGGAAATAGTTATTTTTAGCTGCTGTGTTTCAAGTTAGTATCTCTTTTTTTAGGATATTCTCTAATATTCTCTTTAAGATACATAAAATATTCTAAGATAGTCTTTAATTCTGGCCTACCTGCCAAATAAAGATCGTTGTCAAGAACATCCTTTAAAAGCACCCATCAGGAATATATTGTTTGATTTTTCTAGACATCTCCTAATTACTTTGTGTTTTTAATTTCTTAGATCACTGACAGACATTCAAGACCTGTCTAGTATCTCCTGTGAACAAGATAGTTCTTTTAAGAAAGTCTCATGTAAAACACCCAAAGTAAACCATGCACCTACCAGTGTCAGCACTCCGCTCAGCCCAGGTAATCACTACAGGGAGGATTGTTTGGAGAGAACAGTTCCTCTCCCATTGACTTTTGGGAAACCAGACCGTGAGAACAGACTGGCAGGTGTTTCCTCATAGTACAGAGTTGTCTCTTTAGCACCAGAGCTGATGAAGATAATCCCATGAGGGGCCAAGTAGGGGTTGTTGTTGGTGGTGGTTATTAAGCAGCTATAGGTAGATTTTTTAGTTTGGTGGTAGAGACACACAAATACAAACTACTTTGTACTCTAGCACTACTGAATTTAGCGCAAATATGTTGGATTTTCTAGTTTGTAACTTAAAACCTATTGTGCTTAAGGATACATAGTTTTCAGTCCTGCAACCCCAACAGCCAGCATCAAATAGCCTCTCTCTGGTGTCCTTAGTTCTAGTATATTTGTGGTTCAAATAATTTCCTTTTATTTTGATGGCCAAGTTTAGAGAATATCATTTTTTTATACTTTGAGGAGCTATGTCTCATATCAGCGGTTATTTTGGTTATTAACAATTTGGAGAATTCTTGGTATAGGCAGAGTTTTGTGTTTTTGTTTTTAAATAATGTAAAGAATTTGGACACTAATTGCCCTCTTTTCTGCAACAGGGTCAAGTTCTTCACCTGCCAGTGGGTATAAAGACTGCCTTGAAAATATCACATTTCAGATTAAAACAGGGTCTACCTCATGCTGGAACAGTCAGGAATCTGTTCAAACTTCGTCTGATAGATTTACAACTGTTCGAGAGAAAGCAAAGAGCCTAGACTCCTTTCTTACTTCCTCTGAAACTATCCCTTCAAAATTGACCAGTCTTGTAAGTATATCGACCCTGCTTTCCATACTGTTGGAGTCAGCCCCAAAGCCTTGGGGATCCCAAGTGCCAAGATTTCTCCAAATCCGTTTTATAAAGAAAGCAAAAAATAAGTTAGATCTTCCCTAGGCCTCCCTGGTGTGTCTCTATGAGTCTGTATATTGTAGGATAGATCTTGGGTTTTTATGCCTGCTCCCCCCACCCCCCACAATGTCTGGCAGTTTCTTTAAAGAGCCAAACTACCACAGCTTATAATGCTACCTTTGCCTGCACTATACTTTTAGTCTACCATAATCTGCTTATTTGAGGAGGCTTGAGTTCTGCTTCCTTTTTGATGCCTCCTCTGCTTCAATCCGTGAGAGTTTTGATGGATCTCCACCTTCTCTGAACTCCTGAACTAATAGTCTACAATAAAAACATATATTTGTATATTACCTTCTCCTCTCCTCTTTTTTCTCCCCCTGCTGTCCTCCTTTTTTTCTCTCCTCTCTCCCTCATATCTCATATGTATAGTCTCTTCAAGAAAACTACAAAGTGCTTACTTGACGCTCCTCATTAAAAATCTGTTGACCATTTTATAGGCAAATTGATTACTTGCTTTGGCCCTCACTTAAAAATCAACTGTCATCTTCCTTGGGCATATGACTTATAGAAGGTCTACTTGAAGTAGGGAGATAAAGAACTCTATGCTTTATTCAACCATCTGTTAATTGGGCAGCTTCTAAGTGCCAGGTAGCCTGCTAGGCCCTCTTCCAGGCATCCAAATAGGAATAACATAGACCTAGACCCTGCCCCAGAGGATCTACCCATCTAGTGAGAGAGGCTGGTGTGATCCAGCACAGAAGTAAGTACTGGGGACTGCAGAGGCAGAGGAGTGAGAAGGGATTGCAGAGGAGGGGACATTTGAATGAGTTTACCTCAATCAACAAAACAAATGGCCTCTTCCATAAGTGAAATACAGGCTTACTCTTGGAAATGATTGAACTGCATGGGCTTTTTGAGCTCAAAACATGTGTTAATTACCATGTTTATGTATTACTTGTAGAAAAGATTGTCTGCATTTACTGGGGCCAGTTCCTCCAGCGTTGCTAAGTTACCTGACTCATCATCCCATGCCACCCAGAGGAGCTTGCCCAAAGGTACTCTGTGTCTAATATCAAAATACAACCAAAATACAAAATAATAGTAAGCTGGAGTGCCTGGGTGGCTCAGTCGGTTAAGTGTCTGCCTTTGGCTCAGGTCATGATCTTGGTGGAGTCCGGGGTGGAGTTCTGCATAGAGTTTCCTGCTCAGCAGGTAATCTGGTTCTCTCTGTCTCTTCCTTTGCCCACCGCCCCCCCCACTCATTCTCTCAAGTAAATAAATAAAATCTTTAAAAAAAAAATAGCCAAGTTTGATGCTACATTAGATTCAAACAAAAATGCTGTTTTCCCTCTAATTATAAAAGTGAAACATACTCATTAAACTTGGAGAATTAAAAAGAGCTTTTAAAAAAACTACCCTTTAATTCCACCACCAGTTTTTAACTTCTTGTACTATTTTGGTATGTATCTTTTTCATTTTTTTAAAGTAAACTCTCCCCAATGTGGAGCTCAGACTCATGACCCTGAGATTAAGAGTTGCATGCTCTACTGACTAAACCAGCCAGGCACCCCTCTCTTTCATATTTCTAGAAATATACAAAAATGTATATATTTTTAACATAGTTGAGATCATAACTGTGTCAGCTCTGGCCTTTTTTTTTTCTTTGATGCTATATTTTGAGGATTTCTTCTTAGTGGAAGTTATTGTAAATAGATGTAATGGCTTCATAATACTCCATTCTACATATGTTGCTTAGGTTGAAAATTTATATTGTTTTCTAATTTTTGCTCTTGGTATAAGAATTTTTTTTTTTTTTTGGTATAAGAATCTTTATCTGTAGCTCTGATCCCTTTCTTAGGATAGATTCTTAGAGATGGTTTTCAAATCAAAGGGTGTGAGAATATTAACAGCTCTTGAGGCATATTGCCTTTGCTATATTAATCTTAATGCCTTATGTTTTGGTGCAGTACTTAGATTTTATGAATTATGCTGAGGGGTTTTAGTTGGTGTTATAACTGAGCACTTAGGGGAAGGTCCAAAGAATGGTTGCTTCTGGATTCCCCTGGCCTGAGAATCTATATAGAGAAAGACTTTCCACCTTATGGTTTGTTTGTTTGTTTTCATTTTGACTGATTCGGAGCTTCTGTATCCCTCCAGGAGCCCGGGTCCAGATTGGGCTCCCAGCCTCTTAGTAAGAATTTGTACCTCACCTACCCCAATCTTCTTGGGGAGGGAGGGACATGGATCAAGCAGCACTGGGGTAAGGGGCAAAGTAGCAAAGGGTTCAGAGTAAAAGGGGGTGTAAAACCATTCACATGTTAGGACGTCTCAACTAGGACTGCTAATGTGAGAAGCTGTCTCCTGCCTTAGTTTGTTTTATTGTTGAGAAGTCCCAAGTCAAATCCCATGTGGAAGCTGCAAAAATCCATTTCAGGGCCAGTAAGGTGTTAAGTCATTTCCCCCTTTATCTTTTTTAAGCACTAGTAGAAGCCATTTCACAGCGTCACATTGATGAGCTACCACCACCATCTCAGGAGCTGCTTGACGAGATTGGTAAGGGATTTTCAACACTGAATGCACTCCATGGCCTTGATAGTTATGGTTACTGACCACAGTATGGTTCTTTGTCTCAGGTGTAAGTGCTAGTACAGAAGGCCCTCAGAAGGTCTGATTGAATGTACATAATCAGGAAGGAGCAGCTTTCTAATAAAATGGGCCTCATGCTATTACTGAAACCTGGCCAGGATAATAAGCTTATGTCTGTTGTCCTTTTTTTTTTTTTTTTTAAGAATTTATTTATTTATGAGAGACACAGAGAGAGAGGCAGAGACACAGGCAGAGGGAGAAGCAGGCTCCATGCAGGGAGCCCGATGCGGGACTCAGTCCCGGGTCTCCAGGATCAGGCCCTGGGCTGAAGGCAGACACTCAACCGCTGAGCCACCCAGGCTGCCCTGTTGTCGTTTTGTTACTTAAAGGGTCTATGGTAATGATTCTAAGAGAAATAACATTTGAGTGGTTTATTATGATGAAATTTTTTTATTAAAGGAAAATTTCACTTTCTTTTTGAACCAAACCAGCCACACCTTGGGGGCCTGAAGTCTGGCTTCTGAGGTCAAGATATCCTGTACTTTCACTTTAGCCATTAGCAGGACGTATTAAAGGTGTTGGCGTCATGGATGAATCACTTTCCCAGAGGCAGAGATGTCAGTGGCACATGACCTAATGAGACCAGAATTTTCCATTTCAGGCAGAGACCCAGCTATACCAGCTCAGTTTTAGTTGTAGCTGCATTGGCTGGCCCTGCCCAGCTGAGCCAATGCTGGAAGTAAATGGAAGCATTGGGCCAGGTAGTTTCCCTTACCCAGGAAAGACCTGATTGTACTTCTTGTTCTCTTCTTCTCTGGCTGACCAGCCCCTTAACCTGAGAGGACGCATCTTATCAGATCATTCCATCAGTTCTTGGTATGGGCCTCTATTTCCTGAGACGCACCAACTGGTTTTCAGGGTCTCTGACGTTTTATGTCTCCTCAGGAAGAGGGAGGTAAATGAAGATTTATGTGATCTGACTCAATGGAGCTTTTACAACCCTGAGCCCCTGTCTGTTGGTCTGAAGGACTAGGGTGGAGCCAGTCAGAGCTGCCAGAACCTTCCGTAGTTTCTTTTTCTTTACTCATAGGTCCTTTTTACCTCATCACACCTCTCCCCCAATGCCACAGGGTTGTTGGTTTAAACTCTTAGGGCTCCCATCCTGAAACTGGCTCTCCTTCTCTAAAACTCCCCAGGGAGTCTTTACAAATTCCTCCTCTCCAGTTGCACTTCTTAGTATCAGCAAGAGAACTGCTGCTTATGAGAGTAGAGGTCACCCACACATATCCAGCTCAGGTAAATTCTTAAGGTCATTTGTTCCTTGGTCATGATGTAAGGCAGTATTTGTAGGCTCCTTTGAAGTTTGACCTTAGTGATACATTTCCTCCAGATCCTGCTGTCTTGTCTCTTTGTCACCATATGGATCCCCCATTTGTTAGCAGTCTTCCTCCTGGGCTCCAGCCTCCTGGCACAGCTGTACCCCAGCACACTGCAGAAATTGTCCCTCATTTTACTTATGGGAATTATCTGGACCAAGTTTCTAGGTGATGTCTGTACTTTGACATGGGTCAGTAGTTTCCTAGAAAGACAAAAGTGAAATGTCATTTGGGTAGTTTCTCCTAATAATGGGCACTGCCACATAATTCCTGTATGTTGTCATTCTGTTGTTCTACCTCAAGAGAGTTTTAGGAAGTGACCTGGTGCTGACACCTACTGTTTTGGAGGGCCCACATCCAAAGCTCTAGGCTTCTGAAAAGGGCCTAAAGGGAAAGATTCTTTAGAACTTTGAGATCAACAAGGGACTACTTTTTTTTTTTTTTTTTTTTTTTTTTTTTTTTTTTATGATAGTCAGAGAGAGAGAGAGAGAGAGAGAGGCAGAGACACAGGCAGAGGGAGAAGCAGGCTCCATGCACCGGAAGCCTGACATGGGATTCGATCCCGGGTCTCCAGGACCGCGCCCTGGGCCAAAGGCAGGCGCCAAACCACTGCGCCACCCAGGGATCCCAGGACTACTTTTAACAAGGATAAAAATGGATTTTTAAATTTCAAATTATTTGAAATATATAGGGCCTCATGATGCCCAGGAGCTACTAGGAAGGGCTTACTTCCTGGCCTGCAGGAGGAGGGAGCCCTGTGCCTGTGCACAGCAGGACTGCACCAAGGAACCCTGAGTCCCTGTGTGCGCTGCCTTCCAGCTATCTCCCTGCTATGCTGTGGGGAGCACTTGAAGCATACTGTGCAGCTAACAAATGCAAAGCAGTATGCGGGTTTTAGCAGATGCTTGTCTTAGTCTCTTGGTCAATTCTTTAAGACCTGGAAATTATAGATATTCTTTGGCTTCTGCCTTTTTATAAACTAGGTAAAAAAATACGACATGTGGACCACAGAGATGGGGAAAATTGGAGGTTGTTTTTTTTTAATTTTTTTTTAATATTTATTTATGATAGTCACAGAGAGAGAAAGAGAGAGAGGCAGAGACAAAGGCAGAGGGAGAAGCAGGCTCCATGCACCGGGAGCCCGATGTGGGATTCGATCCCGGGTCTCCAGGATCGCGCCCTGGGCCAAAGGCAGGCACCAAACCGCTGCGCCACCCAGGGATCCCTGGAGGTTGTTTTGATGTTATTCCACACTTTTTGAGAGAGTATAAAATAAAGAGGAAGAGCATAGATCTTAGAGCTGGACCACCCCGAGTTCAAATCCCAGTTCTGCATCTGACTCTGTGGGATTCCAGGCTAGGTCCTCAACCTTTCTTTACCTTCATTTCTTCATCTGCTAAACAGGAAAGGCAATCATATGATCAATCTTGTAAGGTTGTTGTGAAGATTGCAAACATGAATCTTGGATGAATGTGTGTAAGTTAAAAACAGTACCTGCCACTTAGGGCTCTGCAAATGTGACCTATCATTGTTATCATTTTTATTTTTATTTTTAGAGTTGGAGGGGATTGAATGCCATAGGACCAAGGGTTCTCAAACTTTAAGAGCTGTCAGAGTCACCTGGAGAGCTTGTAAAATATGAGTGCTGGGCCCTCCCCCCAGAGTTTCTGACTCACTAAGTCTGGGATGAGGCCTGAGAATTTGCATATCTGAGTATAACTGAGTATACTGAGGTTGCTGATCCAAGGGCTACTCTTTGAGAACCACTGCCCTAGAGAATGGTGTGACATGTAAAGGAAGAGTAAGTTGCCTTTTGCTTTTGTATTATTGTGACAGAGCACTTGAAGCAGCAGCAGGCCACATCCACAATGTTGGGGGAGAACACAGCAAGTCATCTGGGCATCACTGCAAATGGTAAGCCAACTACCCAGATCTTTTTCATCAGGTCCTTGCTGTAACACTGTCCTTGGCAGCACATTGGTATATTTAGGGGACTACGGACCTTAAAGTCAGGCCCAATTCCACCTCAGTTGCCACTTTTGTATTGTTTAATGTCTCTAAGCCTCAGTCATACTCATCTGTAAAATGGGGATAATTCCTAACTCCTGATGTATGCAGTAGCTCTGTGTACAGTGCCTGGTACATTGTAAGATATTGAATAGACCTTCCCTTCATAGGACTGCTGGCAGGATGAAATGAGATAGCATTATGAAATGCCTGGTATACATTAAAGGGTACTACCCTTCCCCACCCAAATTTCTTCCTTGGGGCTCCAACCTAGAAATATCTAACAAGTGAGAACAGGGTAATCCCCCAAAGTAAACCTGTACAATTTGTTTCCAGGGTCTCCTGCTTTCTCTTTTATGTGCCCTTTCTTTCCTTTGCTTCCTCTGTCTCTCTTGAGTCTTGGCACAGGTCAGGTTTCCTATCACCTGGCACCAGAGAGCTCCCAAGACCCCACAAGCACCTGCTGTGAATGCAAGAACCCTGAGACTGCCACCTGATCCCTGGCTCTCCTGGGAAGAAATAGTACAATGCATACTTCAGGGACTACTGATTAGTGTTAATTTTTTGCACTCCATTTTAAGGCAGGCTTTCTCAATTGTTTTGATGTTGTTCTAATAAAGTTAAGGCTTTCAACTGTTTTTAGATGAAAGGCATTTAGAAGACCAAGAAGCTAACAGTAAAAAAGAAGATAGTAGTATGCTTTGGACCAGAGAAACTCAGGATCTAGGAGAGGACACAGAAAGGTAACATAAAAAGCTAGACTTCTGGGATCCCTGGGTGGCGCAGCGGTTTGGCGCCTGCCTTTGGCCCAGGGCACGATCCTGGAGACCCGGGATCGAATCCCACGTCGGGCTCCCGGTGCATGGAGCCTGCTTCTCCCTCTGCCTGTGTCTCTGCCTCTCTCTCTCATTCTGTGTGACTATCATAAATAAATAAAAATTAAAAAAAAAAGCTAGACTTCTAAAAGTATTTAATATACTGTATTAGTTTGTATTAGTTTCTCTTCTGATGTTGACAAAATAGATGGAAAAAGGTCTCTCTTCATACTATCCTAACAGCCCCTATTCCTAAAAGATTTTTTTATTGTAATTGTGATAAGATACATAATGACATAAAATTTTCCAGTGTACAGTTCCGTAGTGTTAAGTATATTTCAATTATTGTACAACCAATCTCCTGACTTTTTCATCTTACAAAACTGAAGTTCTATACTCATTAAAAACCAACTGCCCATGGGCAGCCCAGGTGGCTCAGCGGTTTAGCGCCGCCTTCAGCCCAGGGCCTGATCCTGGAGACCCGAGATAAGAGTCCCACGTCGGGCTCCCTGCATGGAGCCTGCTTCTCCCTCTGCCACGCTCTCTCTCTCTCATTAATAAATAAATAAAATCTTTTAAAAAAATTAGAAAAACCCCAACTGCCCATTCCCCCCTTTCCTCAGTTCCTAGCAACCACTATTCTACTTTCTGTTTCTATGAGTTTGACTCCTCTTGTTACCTCATGTAAGTGAAGTCATACGGTATTTGTCTTTTTGTAATTGGTTTATTTCACTTAGCATAATATCCTCGAGGTTCATCCATGGAACATGTCAGAATTTCCTTCTTTTTTAAGACTGAATTCCAGCTCATGCCTGTGTGTGTGAAATTTTGTTTATCAATTCATTCATTTTTTGGTAGACACTAAGTTGACTCCACCTTTTTCCTATTGTGAATAATGCTTCTATAAACATGGGTGTACAAATATCTCTTCTGGACATCTTGCTTTCAATTATTTTGGATATGTACCCTGAAGTGGTATTGCTGGATCACATGGTAAATCTATTTTTAATTTTTTGAGGAAATACCATACTGTTTTCCACAGCAGCTGCACCATTTTACATTCCTACCAACAGTGCACACGGGCTCCAGTTTCTTCATATCCTTGCCAATACTTGGTATTTTCTGTTTTTTTTTTTATAGTAGCCACTCTAAAAGAATGAATATGAGGTAATATCTCATTGAGGTTTTAACTTGCATTTCCCCAGTGATAAGTGATGTTGAGCACCTTTTCATATGCTTGTATATTTTCTTTAGAGAAATAACTATTCAAGTCCTTTGCCATTTTTAACAGGATATTTTTCCTAAGTTTTTTGTTTTTGTTTGTTTTTACTTCATTTTGTGAGGCAAACATAGGTTTCAGCTTCTTTTAAAAATGTTTCCATTAAAGGCCTTGGAAGAGAATTTTTAGATATTTGTAGCCAAATTTAAAAAAATGGGGGCAATCATCCAGACAGTTGAGTCTAAAAATGCAAGTTTGCCTCAAGAAACCCAATTCTCTTCCTGACTCAGAGCTCTCCTTTGACTCGTGCTATAAGATAAACCACTTCAGCTCACCTCCTGTATCTTCTGACTTCTCTTGCCTTGTCCTAACTGTCATTCGGGGCCAGGACTGGTATGAGGTGAATGAGATGCACACACTCCTTGGGCACAAAATTGAAGGAGGCACCAAAAAACACAGGAGTCAAGATAAATTTTTTTGGTAAAGATTTTATTTATTTATTCATGAGAGAGACAGAGAGGCAGAGACATAGGCAGAGGGAGAGGCAGGCTTCATGCAGGAAGCCCGATGCAGGACTCGATCCCGGGACTCCGGGATCACACCCTAAGCCAAAGGCAGATGCTCAACCGCTGAGCCACTCAGGCATCCTAAGATAAATTATTTTAATGCAATATTTTAAAAAATGAAAATTGATGCCAAAAATCCACAATGAACAAAATCTCTAAATTTTGAGGAAAAAGAGGACCTGCATCTGCCCCTTGTACCACTTACTTTATCCTAATCCCAGTCCTGTGGATCCTTAGGGTAGCCTGCAGAATTCTTTCAGCTGCATAATGATAGAAAACTCCCCTATTGTACTTAGATGAATTTGTCTCACACATCAAGAGGCAGTCCCACTGGTTGGCAGGGCATGCCTGGTGTAGCAACTCAGTGATGCAACCAGGGACTTAGACTCTTTGGATATTCCTACTTTGCCACCTTAGTTAATATGTTGGCCTTTATTTTCAGAATTATCAGCTCCTGGTTGCAAGATGGCTTGCTATCCACACACCAGGCAGAAATAAAAGGGTGGGACAAAGGAGTATTCGGACTCTGCCCCTTTTTATCTGGAAAGCAGAAACTTTCCCAGAAATTTCCCCACCAATTCCCACTTATATCTCACTGGCCAAATGTGATGCATGACCACCCTCAGTTGCAAGGGAGACCAGAAGTTGAATTTGTAGGTTTTTAGCTGCTGTAGAAGAGGAGGGCAAGGGAGAAGAGTGCTATGCATAACTTTTAGGTAGTGAATCCACTTTCTGTCACACTCTTCAAGTGCTAAATTATTCTCTATGAAGAAGGAAAAGAAAGAGACCTGGAAAGGAAGGTTTGGGAAGGGGATGAGGAGACTGGGGCCCTGGGACCTGCAAGGAAGGTCCTGGGGAGACAGAAAAGACAAAGAGGCAAAGGGAGAGGAAGATAAATACTTTTTAAAGTTTTAGAAATCTTTTTTCTATAATGTATGATGTAACTCCAGCCCTTTCATTTCCCCAAAACACCTTCAGGAAAAATGTACACCATTATTCAAGCAAAAGAAGCTTAGCTCAAGGAGGCCAAGTTGAATTTGGTTGTATAAAGTACTTTGTTTGTGATCAAAAGTGAGCTATTATTACTGTTTTCCAAAAGGGCTGGCTGTGAGGGGCACAGATAGATGCCCACAATGAGACTTTTCAGGCTTTCTAAAAACATTCTCTGCATCCCTTAGCCTCAGAGGCAGTTCTTCATCCAAAAAAGTTGAAGGAATGAGTGTATAGTTCTAGCCTGAGTTGGAAATTGCCTTAATGACCTAGAATTGAGACGGAGTCTAGCATTGAATTTTGGGAGGTAGCTATTCTCATGGGTGCTGAGGCTTCTTGTTAAGGAACTAAAGAAAAGTTTTGATGTGCATTTAAATCAGATCTAGGTGACCTCTGCTACTCTAGATATGATCTCACCGAGCTCTCATTTTCTCATGTGTATAGTGAAAGCACGAGTTTGAAGGGCCTTTCTGACTCCAAATACTGTGCCTCCTTGTCATGGGACAAAAATTGTCTCAATTCTCTTTGCTTGCCCTTGGACAGAGCTCACTCTACTCTCGATGAGGACCTAGAAAGATGGCTACAGCCACCTGAGGACAGCAAGGAGCTACAAGATCTCCCCACAGGCTCTACAAGGTTATTGTTCTCCCATCGGGGGATCATTTTCTTCTCTTTCAGGAAGGAGGGCTAGATTTCAGATTTAAAAAAAAAAATTACCTCAACTCCTTGAAGAATAAGTGTCTGGTGATGTCATTTCATTGCTGTTGTTAAGCCAGCCTTAACTTCTGTCTGCCTCTCTTTTCCAACCACCAACAGTGGTCAAGATATTGATTAGCAGATTGATAACAGTAAACAGAGAGGCCTCTAAGATTGCTTGCTGTACCTTGGCCCTGTCACCTTCAACATTTTCATTAGCCATTAGAATTAAATCAGGAAAGGCATGCTTATAAAATTTTTAGATAACACAAATCTAAGAATGAATGCTAATGTGATAGGTGATAGACTGTGGGTTCAAATGGTCTTGACAGGTAGAAATGTTAGATTCCTCTAAAAGATGAAAGTAAACATTTAGATGTGTAGAATGGGAGGGATCTGACCTAATGGAGAATTTTTTATTGGAAGCTCCTCCTTACTGTAGTTTTGTTGAAGGGAGGAAGTATGTGTTATTCTTAGATGCTTAGCATTTAGTATGCATTTTGAGGCATGCTAAGAATTTAAGAAATTTTTCTTGAAGAGGGCATAAATAGCAACTCCATGAGGTCTCAGTCTGATGCAGTTGCTAATAAAAAGGTCAATGCAGCATTAATGCTGAACAGACAGAGACGTATTGTTCAGGGCAAGGTGAGTCTCACACTAGAGAGAGGACTCCTAAGACAGTGTGAGGTGTCTTAATGGGTGCCATATTTTTAAAGAGGTGTTGACAAATAGAAGAGGGTGGCCATAGAACAATCAGAGGTCTGGAAACCCTGTCTTATGAGAACAGCTGAAGGAGCTGGAGAGGCTCAGCCCAAAAAGCACAGATGGAGTGGAGAATTTGATAGCTGCATTCAAATACCTGATATGTTGTAAAGTGAAGAGAGTCTGCTTACTTTCTTCTGCCCCAAAGAACAAAGCGGGTAACTAGAAACCATAGAGCTAGGTATTTTTATTCTGTAAAGCACATGTTTTCTAAGAGCCATAGCTATCTGATAGAGAAAATATCTGTCTTTACGCTTACTTGACTAATAATTCCTCCCACTCAAGCACAGGCTAGACATCACTGGGCCTGGGCATTTGGTTGGAGGTGGAAGAGACCCTGAAGGCTTCCTTTAATTCTAGAGCCTATGATTCTATTAGTGATGAGAGGTTATGAGGAAAAAAGTTGTTTTTGCTCTAGCTGGCTTTATTTTCTCTCTCATTTTACATATTTTGTTTTGAATATTTAGCAAATGAAAACAAGAAAAATCTCTAAATAGTGTCAAATTGGTTGAGCCAGAATCTGTTGAGCGCTGACCATGAGCCAAGTGCTATGCTGGAAAAACAAGGGATAGGATGTTTCTGCCCTTCAGGAGCTTACAGTTTAGTGGGGGAGATGCTTTCTGCTTACCAGTTTGGCAAACATGGTCTTAAATCATTAGATACTTCAATTAGAGGTACTTCAGAGAGAGTTTCAGGAAATGAAGTAAGGTAATAAAATAAGTGGTGGTTATAAAAAGGACACCAATTAGAACATAAGTGAAATGCTTTGTTGGCAAGGGTGGATAATATAGCCTGAAGGTTGAGAGCAGAGTCTGAGACAGACTGCTTGGGTCAGATCCCAATTCTAGGACTTACAAGGCCTATAACTTAACCTCTCTGTGCTTCAGTTTCTTTACCACTTGCTGGGGATGGTAATGGTAAAGGTAACTATCTCATATGGTTGTAATAAGGATTAAATGAGTTAATGCATATTGTAGCACACAAGCCAATGCCTGGCTGTTAGTGCTACCTATTATGATTCTTTTGGAGCAGTCCTGTTCTCCTGACCATTGCGCATATGGTTTGATTTGCTCAAAATCATTTTCATTGAAGGGAGGCAAATATCAAGGATCAAGAAGCTGGTGAAAAGAAGAGAAAAGGGGAAGAAAAGATCAAATCAGAGAGAAGGAAGTCAGACAGCTTTTTAGGAACTTCTGAAGAAGGTATGAATGAAAGATGGTTTATAATGTAGCCTGGAGTCCTTAGACTGTGATGAGCATCAGAGTTATTTAGAATTATTTCCCAAATACTATACATAATCCTTCTATGCTTTTCTCCTGTACCTCAGTCCAGGTTTTCTGTTAATTGCCAATCATGTCTTCATCACAAAACTGTAAAAAGGGCAGCCTGGGTGGCTCAGCGGTTTAGCCCCTGCCTTTGGCCCAGGGCCTGATCCTGGAGACCTGGGATCGAGTCCCACGTCGGGCTCCCTGCATGGAGCCTGCTTCTCCCTCTGCCTGTGTCTCTGCTTCTCTCTCTCTCTCTCTCTCTTTCTCTCATGAATAAATAAATAAAATCTTTAAAAAAAAAAAAAAAAAGGGACGCCTGAGTGGCTCAGCGGTTTAGCGCTGCTTTCAGCCCGGGGCCTGATCCTGGAGACCCAGGATCGAGTCCCACGTTGGGCTCCCTACATGGAGCCTGCTTCTCCCTCTGCCTCTCTCTCTCTGTCTCTCCTGAATAAATAAAATCTTAAAAAAAAAACTGTAAAAACATCCAGTTCTATTTGCAAAGCAAGCCTTTGGCCAGCTTCATCATCTTGCACACTGTCTGGAAAGATATTTTGCTTCTAATTGTCTAGCGTCTTCAAAAGAGTTCCAAATTTAGCTCACACAGAGGCTGTAGAATCTGATAAGAAATCATAAACTTTGGAATTTAAGTAGAGTCTACAAGTAATGTGAAAGGTGTAATCTTATTTCAAAACTATTTCGACAGAGCTTTAGGCATCATTCACAAAAGATACCCCCCTATATTTAAATTCCCCCTACTTAGAAAGTTAGAAATATTAGCTCTTTCAGAATATCTGGTATCCCCTGCATTTCTTCCCTGGTTCATTCTCATTCTGCTGTTTTCTTTGCCCTGTATTATGCTTTGTGGACTGTATCTCTGGGGCTTCCTGGCCGGCAGTCTTTCCATTTGTCAGTGAAAAGAAGGCAGAAGAGTAGTTGGAGTAATATTTCCCCTGCCTGCATGCTTCAACGCCTCATCTCTGCATAGTAGTGGTATACCTCCAGAAGCACAGCTCTTACTGGGTTCCAGTAACTGTTCTACGCTACTGCCACCCCAGTCCCTTTAGACTTAGGAGTGATAATGGCTTCCCACTGCTGCTAGTCACTTGATGCCTTGCCATCCTTTGTTGGCTTCCTTAACTCCCTTAACTATACCTATGTAAGTAGCCACTTTGTTAAAGGGAAGTGCATTTGATTTCCTCTGGGACCCTGATTGGCACAGGGCCCAGAATGTGTGAACATTTAGCTAGTGTTGAATTCACTGAGAACATAATGCAGGGACTTTGTGAATTAGCATCATTAGTGTCCATTGCTGTGACTGGGAGCTGTAGAATGTTAGGAGGGGAAGCCTATTAAATGTGATTTTAGAAAGAGTCTCTCTTTGTATAAGAAAACTGTTGGTAAAACAGTCTATCCTAAACTAGAGAGATATCACTAATGTGACTTCTAAATACTGGTACCCTTTTACCCAGAAAGTAATCCAGTTGTGTTTTCTTCTTTCTATATTTCATCAAGAGGAACTAAAACCCTGTTTTTGGAAGCGACTGGGTTGGTCTGAACCATCCAGGTAATGAGTTGGCGTATGCTTGTAGGTCAGAGTTCACTGTCAGTAGACCACATGAACAGGCTTTAAACATTTACCAGCATCTAAGCAAACAGTAATGATAAAGTTATTGATAAAGTTATTGAAATGATGACTCAATTTTTATGTTAATGTTTAAAGTTATTTAAAATATAAGGTGAAATTCATTCTAATTTTGATGAAGTAGTCAGTAGAGTTAGCACAAGAGCAGTTTTAGACAGAGGGAGGACAAGATGCTCCTATCAATTTTTTTTGCAGTCACTGTGCGTTCCTATGATACACTATTGATTATCTCCTTTGACTATAAAGATCAAAATCCCTTTCCCTTGAATTCAGTTGAATATAAAGAAACTGCTGTTTGTATCTTTAAAAAACATGTACACCAACTTGAAACTCCTTTTTTTGTTGTTCTTTAAAAATACACACAACAGGATAATCGTGCTGGATCAGAATGACTTGTCAGATTGATGGGAATTGGATCACAGGTGGACTCCTGGCCAGAGTTTGAGCATCCTGCTTGTGAGCTCCGGTCTCTCCTCATCTACTTCAGTCACCATCAGGGCAGTGATTCTGTAGCTCATGCTTTGTTCAGCTGCCACAATAGACAGAACCACTGGTCCTGTTTGTAGCACATTTAACAATTTGTTTTTAGTTCAGATTTCTGAAAAGTGAAAGGTAGCTTTTGTTGTAAACTTTCTCAATGTTTCCAGAATGGCTTTTGGTTTTGTTGATTCAGATTTTTGAAAACTTTAACTCTTGTTATATAATAAAATGTTTACTTTTAATACCATTTAGGTTTTAGCTGTGTAAGAGATATTTCTGTGTTTCAGTTATTGGGAAAGGAACTGCCACCTGTAGGGGCTTCAATTTCTGTTTAAAGTTTGACAGATAAGCAGCTGCTGCTACCACCTCTAATATAAACCGGCACCATTCATTTATATTTTACAACAGAAATACTGACCTCCTCTGGACTAGGATTGCTATATTCCCATTCCAGCGAGAATTAACTTACATAATGATAATATAGGCAGGAATAAAAGCCCAAGATATTTTAAACTCTTTAGGGTGAACATCATTTCTGTATATTTCACGTTGTATATCTCACATCATTAGTGCCTTAGAGGAATGAAATTGTGGTAAGATGAAGATCACAACCTTTTTTTCTAATTTAGCCTCTAGTGACTACTGGCCAGATGCATACACCAGGTTCGATGCATAGAACCGGGTGTCTAGCCTGGTTTTTAGAGGATTGATATACCTTCATCTCTCTCAAGTTTGAGCCTTCACATATGAATAAAAACCTATTCTTGGAAGCTGTGTGCTCTTGTGCAGTACGAGCCAGTTAACATTTTATTCTTAGCAAGTAAATAATAGGTCTTTTGTTTGTGAAAACTGAATCATTCCTGTTGAGGATGGTCATATTCATACTATTCTTATTAGCACCACAGAATTTTACCCCATACAAATAAAGTAGGAAGATACAAATCTATTTGACCATTTTGAAGCAAAAAACAGTTGCTTGTCACTGTAACCAGAGGAAAACCAAATTACTTTATAAATAAAACTATAAGAAACTTGGAGAATACAGAGACTTATGATATATTTAGTCCCTCCTCTCAAAAACCTTTAATTGGTGAGACAAAGCCAATATACATAAAAATATAAGGACTGATAGCAGACATATCATGATAAATAGTGAGTTGTGATATTACAGCATTATCTGTTAGTATTCATAAAGGCTACAACCCTACATAAACTCCCACTGATATGATTTGTAATATTTTGTCTACAATGCTAGTAGAATAGACTCTAATAGCTGGCCAGTGACTGTAATACTGGCCAACATTAACAATAATAATGTTGGTAGATAATGTTTACAACTAGCAACGGTTAGGTGCCAGGGTTCCATGACCTACCCAAGATCATATTGGAGCAAACATATTTGTATACTTACACTAAAACATAGCTTTCCCTGAGATTGTAGTTCAAGAGTGCCCTGAGCAAAGTATAAGGATTGTGGAGGTGAGCCAAGAGCTAACTTTATTTTTTAGATTTTTAAAAATTTACTTATTCATGAGAGACAAAGAGAGGCAGAAACACAGGCAGAGGGAGAAGCAGGCTTCCTGTGGGGAGCCTGATGTGGGACTGGATCCAAGGACCCCACGATCATGCCTCAAGCCAAAGGCAGATGCTCAACCACCGAGCCACCCAGGTGTCCCACCAAGAGCTAACTTTTGGTTAAAAATGATGGTCATATATCCTTTATGAACTTAGTCCCCTTCCTCATATCTGTTCTTTGGGTTTGGTGCTGAGTTTTTGGAGTATACTGAGTCCTTTACTTTTCCTCAGTATGCAGAAGCAGAGAATAAATATGTAAACAGTTCCAGACACATAGTAGATGGTTAATGTTGGTTCACTATTGAGTGAAATGTTACCTTGGAAAATTGGATTATTAGAAATTTCTAGATCATATTTCAGTTTTTTTTCAAGTACACTACCTTTGGCATTTTTATGAATGCTAATTGTACTGTTGTATGTGTTGCTATTAGAAGTGGGTTTCAGTGGCACCAGGCTGGATCAGTCAGAAGAGAACACAACTCTTGAACTCAGGGTCCTGAGTTTGAGCCCCACGTTGGGTGCTGAGATTACTTACATAAATAAACTTTATTTTTTATTTTTTTTAATTTTTATTTATTTATGATAGTCACACACACAGAGAGAGAGGCAGAGACACAGGCAGAGGGAGAAGCAGGCTCCATGCACCGGGAGCCCGACGTGAGATTCGATCCCGGGTCTCCAGGATCGCGCCCTGGGCCAAAGGCAGGCACTAAACCACTGCGCCACCCAGGGATCCCCATAAATAAACTTTAAAAGAAGAAGTGGGGGATGCTTGGGTGGTTCAGCGGTTTAGTGCCTGCCTTTGGCCCAGGGTGTGATCCTAGAGTCCCGGGATTGTGTCCCGCTTCGGGCTCCCTGCATGGAGCCTGTTTCTCCCTCTGCCTATGTCTCTGCCTCTCTGTGTCTCTCATGAATAAATTAATAAAATCTTTAAAAAAAATAAAAATAAATAAGAGAAGTGGATTAGTGAGGTGTCTCCCATGAGCTTAGAAATACGTTGGTCTTCTGGTAGTTATATAAGTAAAATTCACTCTCCTACTGAATATGATTAATTATATAGTGGAGTAAAATTAAAGGACCTTCTAAAAATGTGTGACCTAACAGATATGTGGAAATAACCTGAAAAAGTACAGTAAGGAGGAGGGTGTATCCTACCAGATACAAAGGCATAGTATAAAGCTGCAATAATTAACAGAATATGGTATTCACATCAAAATGGAAATCTGTTCCTTTATAGCTCCGTCCTCATCCCTTTTTGTTGCCAATATTATGAAATTGCATTGTTATAAAAATGTGACCCAAAACATAAACTAACAATTTTTAAAATGCATTAGTCTCTTAAATTATGTAAAAAAAACACCAAAATTTGGAGTTACAAACCAAAGTTACAGTAACACTAGCTTTTATACTAATAACTATTTGCTTTCTTTAAATGTATTCATCTCTTAAATCATATAGAAAACAAAAAGTATAGTTAAAAACCATTTTAACTGTTGTAACCAAAATTGTCCATGTACCAAAATCTCTTTATTAAGATCTTTATTTTTCCATATAGCTTTGAGTTATTGTCTGGTGTCCTTTTATTTCAACTTGCAAGACTCCCTTGAGCATTTCTTTCAGAGTAGATCCTAGGGGTCACAAACTCCTTCAGCTTTTGTTTATCTGGGACCCTCTTAACTTATTCCTCCCATTTGAAGGACAGCTTTGCTGGATATAGGATTCTTGGTTGATGAAGTTTTTCTCTTTTAGCACTTTGAATATATTGGCCCACTGTCTTCTGGCCTTCAAAGTTTCTGATGTTAAAGAATTATTATGTTTGTGGTGGGATGCCTGGGTGGCTCAGCAGTTGAGCGTCTGCCGTCGGCTCAGGGCATGATCCCGGATTTCCGGTATCGAGTCCCGCATCGGGCTCCCTGCATGGAGCCTGCTTCTCCCTCTGCCTGTGTCTCTGCCCTTCTCCCTGTGTGTGTCTCTCATGAATAAATAAATAAAATCTTTAAAAAAACTATTAGTTTATGTTTTGGAGCACACTATGTTTATGAATGTAACTTTGTCACAGCAACAACTAAGAGGGTTGGAGTGAAGCTATAAAGGAGAGTTTTTGATTGTTATTGAAGTTAGGCTGGTATAAATTCAAATTAGAGTATTATAAATTTAGGATGCAAAATGTAATCCCCATGGTTACCACAAAGAAAATAACCATGGAAAAATACACAAAAGAAAATTAGAAAGTAATTTCAACATTTCACTACAGAAAATCAACTAAACACAAAAGAGACAGTAATGTGGGAAATGTAGGGCAAAAAAAAAAAAGCTATAAAAGCATATAAAGGGACGCCTGGGTGGCTCAGCTTTGAGCATCTGCCTTTGGCTCAGGGTGTGATCCTGGAGTTCTGGGATTGAGTCCCACATCAGGCTCTCTGCATGGAGCCTGCTTCTCCCTCTGCCTGTGTTTCTGCCTTCTCTCTGTGTCTCTCATGAATAAATAAATAAAATCTTTAAAAAATAAAACATAAAAAACAAATAGCATAATGAAAGAAGGTAAGGCCTCCTTATCAGTAATTAGTTTAAGCATAAATGAATCAAACTCTCCAATCCAAAGACAGAGATTGGCAGAATGGATAAAAAGACATAATATAATTATATGCTGTCTATGAGAGATTCACTTGAGATCCAAAGGCACAGATTCAAAGTGAAAGGATGGACAAAGATATTCCATGCAAATAGTATCTAAAAGGGAGCAAGAGTGGCTATACTAGTATCAAAGTAGACTTTAAATCAAAAAAGGTTATAAGAGGTAAGGATTATATATTAATAAAAGGTTCAATAAAGAAAGAATATATAACAATTATATGTATGTACTTAATGACAGACCACTAAAATATAGGAAGCAAAAATGGGCAAATTTGAAGGGAGAAATAGGCAATTTTGTAATAACAATTGGAGACTTCAAAAATCCACTTAAAATAATTGGTAGAACAACCAGACAGAAGAGAATTAAGGAAATAAAGGAGTTAACACAAACCAACTAGATCTTACAGACATGCACAAACTCTGTACTCAACAGCAACAGAATACATATTCTTCTCAAGGTATACATGGGATATTTTTGAGGATAGACTGTATCTTAGGCCATTTGAGTCTCAATAGATTTCAAAAAATAGATATCATAATAGGGTATCTTCTTTGACCACAACAGGATGCAGTTAGAAATTAACAATAAATGGAAAACTAGAAAAATTGTAAAATTATGGAAATTAACACACACACAAAAAGATTATCTTAGAGAGCGATGGAGTCAGTGAGTGCAGGAGGGGAAGAGCAGAAGAAGGGGGAAGAGCAGAAGAAGAGGGACAAGCAGACTCCATGCTAAGCACAGAGCTCAATATGAGGCTGGATCCCACCACCCTGAGATCATGACCTGAGTGAAAATCAAGAGTCAGATGCTTCATCTGAACCAACTGAACCACCCAGGCACTCCCATGCTTTTTAAAAAATATATTTATTTATTCATGAGAGAGAGAGAGGCAGAGACACAGGCAAAGGGAGAAGCAGGCTCTATGCAGGGAGCCTGATGTGGGACTCTATCCAGGGTCTCCAGGATCAGGCCCTGGGGTGAAGGCGGTGCTAAACTGCTGAGCCACCCAAGCTGCCCCCTTTTTTTTTTTAAAG